CCATCACACACACACACACACACACACACACGAGCACCGCCCCGTTGCGTGAGTGATCAAGGCAGTAATGACACAGCAAGCTCCTGCAACAGTGGAATCAATCTATTAGAATGGGATCAATGTCTCTGACCTTTACCTCGCGGTAACGTTCAGCATTCAATCTCTCATTATTTTGACAGTGAAAGGGCAGCTTTTCCGGCTGGGAGCCAACAGGATGGAGCATCACTACAGCACACTATCCATGTTCACAGTATCAACCTGAGTCTGTCCTGACAGTCAGACTCAGACACAAAACGCCCCCCCCCCTACTTCACATTTTCTGTTACATCAAACGCACCAAAACCTTTTGCCTTTTCACTGTTTTGAAACGGAAACGCTGCAGGTACCATGATGCTGCTTGAGGTCGTTTTTGTGATTGTGATGTAACATATCATGAAGCGCTGTGTGAATCCAGTTGTTGTTGTTTTTCTCTTTAATGAGCTTCACACGTGCATGATTGCACGATTTATGATTGTACATGCATCAAAGGAAATCAAAAAGATATGTCTAAAAGTTTGGAAAATACCTTTCATTCTTGATGTGCACACTTAGGAATCACTTGTAGGAATCCGTAAATGTGTGTTTATTTTTTAAATTGTTTGTATTTACAGTCCTTCCATAATTTAAGTTATAAGCCCTTGTGTCAACTCTAAAGAGAAATACAACTGTGGAATTATGTCCTGCTGAGATGTTATTGAAAAAAAAGGTATTTTTTAAAAGCAGTCATAGTTTGCCCAACTGCTCTGAAGCATAAGGCCCCAAATACCTTCTATAAACATTTTTCAAGTTATCAAAAAATTGTGTGATTTTGTGTCTTTTGTTATATTTATAGGATTTACAGCCAATTATAAGGAACCTCATATGCAGAAATCCCACAAAAAAAATATCTTACCAAGATTTCTCTTTAAAGAATAACAACAAACTTAAAATGCAGGGGCATGCCAGTTTTCTTATTGTTAAAAGTAAGAATGTTATTCATTGTCTTGCCTAAATTGTAAATTTGCTTGCTTTTATAGTTTTGGCAACGGTTTAATGCAAATGTACTGAGCTGCTGGAGACAGTGATTTGTTTTCTGTTTGAAGGACTGTCTCAGAAGAGACTCGGTCTCTCATACGGATGTGATTTTCTCCACACAGTGTGGGTAGAGGTGGGAAGCACTGCCCACATGGCTCACTGCTGTACAAGCTAAAGCACTCTGCATGAATAATTTGCTACTCTCAGCTTCAGTTTGGCCTTGCTCTTCTCTCCCTTTCACCCACACAGTCATGTTATGCTGATTCAGGAGCAAAGAGAGAGGAGTTTGGCAGTGCCGGCATGGCAGGAAGAAAGCTGCTCCGTTAAACGAAGGGGGGGGGGGAAGAGGAGGTTCATTAGTGTCTAATCTATGTATTTTAATTAGATTCCGTTTTTATGAACATGCCCCAAACAGAAGATTGGTCACGTTTTAGTTGGAGCAGAAGAAATGGGAGCCCAGATCTTTGGGTTAAGAATATAATGGTGCATGCATTCATATGTGTACACAGAACATGTCTTCACTGTGGATGCTACCGCCCGGCAGCTTCTGAAGTCCTCTGTCAGTGCCAGTGTGTAATAGCTGTCCACCAACACAGAGTTTCTGGTCGTGAAGCAACCAGCACAGATGGCTAGTTCTGAAAGCGCTGCACCTGTTTATATATAGCTCATCAGTAGAGCACTTGAGAGATATGAAAACAAAGCAAGTCTGTCTTTTTGGCACGCCAACGGCTCCATCCACGCCTCATGGTCTCACTTGAGACAACAGATTCCTGAAGGATTTGGGCACAAAAAAAGGACAAATTTCTACATGTTAATGTTGCGAATATAAAAATAACATGAAACACAAACTGTTTATATGTTAAATGTAGCCATTATGTAATTGCTTAATGCAGGTTTCTGGGTTCGGGAATGGCTTCCTGTCGAGCTAAAAGGTGTTTTAAAAAATATATATTTTAAGAGTGTTATAAGCACGGGATAGTTAGACACCATAGTTTTCATCATGACCAACTGTTTGATTAACTCATTTTTAACCTGTTTTAATGATGAAAATAATTAGGAAAAAAATGGCGCTGCTTACATCATGTTAACTGCTGCATTGTAAAAACAGAAATACACACTATACTCACGCAATTTACAATGTAAGTGTCCTCTTTATTGAAGACGGGTGATGTATGATTTATCACTTAGATTGCATAAGTCCCCTAATTGATGTTTTATGAGGTGCCATATTCACTATGTAAGTGCCATTGAGAAATGTTGCATGTCATCCTGTCATTCACACGACTCTAATGGTTAAACTTACTTAATATTTATTTTTTGGTTGTGTATTTTTATCGATGATATATCACCAAACAGCTGAGATGCAGTTCTCATTATTTTCAATTTAATCAGCAATGGAGGGCTTTTTGCATTTCTAATCTGCTCAATTTAGGCCTGAGGATTGTATGTTCTCTGCATGGAGCAGCTGGAGAGGACAGTCAAATAACTAATAGAAGATATACGAGCGATGTGTGTGTTTTCCTAATAAGATAATATAATATAATAATACATATCCAGACACACGATACAATTCACAGAGGGTTCATATTTCAACCAATGATTTAATTTCAATATTATGCGTTCAAAAGAGTGGTTATCTACTCTTATTTTGATTTGTTTAACAAGACAACAGAGAATCTTGGAGATTCTTTGTAGCAAATTATTAAACCTAGATGTAAAGTGTAAAGTCATTACACCTTTTATGTAAGAATCGGATTCTAATTCGTATCAGAAAATCTTCACACCCCGACCAAATATAGGCTTATCGATCAACTTCATACGAATTATAAAAAAACTTTGAATCAGTTATAATGGATTCTTATTGTCTATATACAACAATGGCCATCATAGACTCTAAATGTATCTTCAGTTATTTTAACCGCGAAGAACGTTTTCTTTCCCCTTTTTCTTCCTCCTCAACAGTCTGTGTATCTATCCCTGTTCAATTTCTGTGGAAGCTTTTTTATCATCACCCACATCAACACATGCCTAACCAGTTCCTACCGTTTGCTTTGTGTTCATAAATCAGTCGTGTTGAACAGATTTGAGTTGTTAATCCACCCTTTAACATGGCCATTGAGCCGAAGAGAGGCAAATGAGGAGCCTAAAGAAGAGCACAGAGTCCCCCTCTTATCGTTTTCTCAATTTAGAATGGAGTGATAAGACAGGCAGACTGTGTCCTGTGGCCAAATCCTAATATTAGACTATTGCCTCTTGTTTAAGATTCATTTTGTGGTGTCAAAATGATATTGATAATTGTTTCTCAGTCACTTTATCTACATGAAATATGTTGTTTGCCCTTTCTTTCAGTTCTTTTAAATGAAGAAAAAAAATAATCTCCTCGCAGCCGTGTCTGACATCCTTGTGTCTTGCACCGCACAAAAATGAACTCTAAATAAGTCAGTGAACACCTGCATTGTATTTATTCCATGGCTATTACAGGGTCTGTTCTTCAATCTTCTGTATTTATTCTGTTAAGTGTGACAACAATAAAATACATGATTTATTGGGCAGATAGTAATCAGCAATTGAGGTATTTATGAGGTTATTTGTTTTGCCGTTTGAGTCTGACACAAGAAAGTTTCATCTTCAGGCCAGGGGCAGAGATGATTGTCACAACACAGAGCTGCAACACAGAGCTGTGTTTCATGCCGTCTCCACCTCTGTTTTCAGCTGGGATTCCATCGATCAGTTGCATTAACCTGAAATTGAATCTGTTCATATTAATGTTCCATCTTTGACCGTTTTTGTGCTGGTTGTTCACCAGTGTCAGAACAGAACCTCTGAGTTGTGTCCAAGCATTCGGTTCAGTGAGGATGTCTGTGAGGAGCAAACCCTGCTCTCACACAGTGAGTTGGGAGCAATGTAAAAACTTTAATTATTGTTGCAGCCTTCAATAGATGTGATAATTTGTATTCACATAGTGCTCTCCTTTGCGTACCCTGTTAGAGAGTGCTTTATGTTGTCAAATGAATAAGTCTTCTTGAAGAGATGAAAGACCCTTTTTGAACTGGCTTACATGTTCACAGTTTTTCAGAATTGCACCTGTTAAGTCCTTGGCAATACAAAAAAAAGTTTTATTTTTTAAGTATCTGCCACCTTTATATGTTTGTGTCCATCAATTCTAATCGATAGAAATCGAGAAATGTGGTAACGCAGTCTTCACAACAGCCTGAAAAGATAATTGATTATGTCTCCTGTATGTTGTCAAAACTGTTTGCCTTTTGTTTCCCCTCACATCATTTTCTTAAATAGTTTTAGTTGATAACTGAAGGAATTCAAGCCAAAAAATGAATAAGACCAGGATGCATAATGCTGTCATTTACAAATCCAAATTGATACTTTCAATCAAATTTCAATGCTAAATTAAAAAAGTGAGACATCTTACGATTTCAGGAAAAATATTGTTTTGAAATTAATGACGGGCAAAATTGGAACAGGGCCTGGGCCACGTTTACCACTATGTAACATTCATGATGCATTTCCAGTTGTCAGTTCAATGGACACTAGCGCAGCCCTTTAGTCTCTATCATGATAATTTCCTGATAGAATCTTTTCTGTTTTTGACCAGATAACAATTTAATAGTCCTATGTCCATATGGCGTCTTTGTATACAAGTTTTGTCCTCTATTTTTAGGTTGTGCAGACAATAATGTTTACAGGAAGTCATGCCTGCTTTTAATGCAGCATCGCCTGATGGCATAACGATCCCTGCATCCATGATGTTTTCAAATTCTAGATGAAGCGTGTCTCAATTGTTTATGATTTCTCAGTTATACTGTTAATCGAATATTGGTTTGTCAAAGTATTGCATAATCTCAAAAATCATACTCTCTTGTGGAATCGGTATTGTAGTTTGTCACAAAAATTATGTTCATCATATTTTTGCTAATTCTTATTGTCTTTGTCCTTGTATTCCAGAAGAAAGAATGGCTATGCTTAAACTGCCAGACACAGAGGGCTCTGTCAGGAAGCCTTGGAGATATTCCAACTCCTATGGCACCGCCCGTGGGATCCCCCCGAGCATCTCCTCAAGCCAGTCAGCAGCCATCCCAGCAAAAATCACCCAATCAACTTTCAGGGCCAAGGGCCACAGGTCCTCAGCAGCAACAGAAACCAGCGGGCTCCCAAGTAAGTGGCCCGCTTTCAAATGTGAAACAGACTGGGCCTCAAACAAAGGGTCTAAGCCAAACTTCCCTTCAAACCAAGGGTTCAACTCAGCCACCCTCTCAAGCTAAGAATCAAACACAGCCCTCGGCTCAAAGTAAGGTACCCGCTCAACCTAAAGGTCCTAACCAAACACACGCTCAAAGTAAGACCCCACCACAATCATCCAACCAAGTGAAGGGCCCAAGTCAGGCCAAAGGGCCGACTCAGACGAAAGGATCTGCTCAGCCCTCTGCCCAGACTAAGGGCCCTTCGCATCCCCCTGGTGCAAAGGCTTCCTCCACCCTTGGTAAAGCTGCGGCCAACCATACTAAGGCCATCACCTCTTCCAAAACAGTACCTACCCAGTCTAAACCCACAGGTAACAACCAGGCCCGCAAACAGTCGCAAAGCCAGGAGAGGAGTAAAGTCGCATCTAAATCTCTTAAAGAAGACATCAAAGCCTCCCCAAAGAAGGCATTGTCAGAGACTGTCACTTCACCAAAAGACACGAAGATAACTGAAGATGCACAGAAGTCAAGACACCATGAAGTGAGCTACCTGCAACTCCTTCGTTTTCACGTGTTACTTTTAGTTCACCATTTTTTTATTATTTACTTGGTTCAAATAATTGGAGCAATTTTGTCAAATCATCACGTTTCCCTTTGCGTTTCATTTGACTTTTTTTTTTTTTTTTCATTGATTCAGTTTTTTATTGTCATCTGTTCCATCACTCAACTTTGTTAATTCAGTTATTAATACCTTGTACTGTTATTCCCAGTGGAACAATAATGAGTTATATTTGGATTTTTCAGAATATAATCCTGCCTTACTCAAAGAGGATTCCTGTCAATACAGTTTTCTTCATCATCGCGTCTTTCTTTCGTCATCATTTTCATATATCATCTTTAACAGCAATGTAACGATCAGTGGCCACTATCATAATCCTTTTCGTCATCTTCATCGCTTCAGTGGCCGGTCCTGATCTTCAGCCCCCACCTTCATCTTTCCACATTGCTTTTGGAGACTTGATTTTATTTGTACCAAACACAAGCTTTTTGTGTAATGTGACACCTCGTGATATTTCAAGCATTCCAAGCATGTTCGTTATTCTTCAACAGTTCGAAGAATGCAATGGAGAATGCGCCAAAGGTGGCAAAGAAGCATGTAACCAAATGACATTTGTCTGTAGATGTTTGTATGTTCAAATGTTCACTGTGTGTAAGTTAACTGATCCATTTGTGTGTGCATAACACCAAAAGGCAAACTCAACCCAAATCACTGTTAATCATTGATTGAGTTGATACCAGTGATACTTTCAAAATTAAACTTATTAAATGTATTTACCAATAAAAGGTAGAGATATACATTCAAAGACAGACTGTGACATTCAAAACCACAGTGAAAAATTCTGTGAACATTTGGGTTGATTTAGCTTAAAGTGTTGAAATATTTTGTCGTTTTTTTCTCACTGTTATATAATCCCTTATATCATACAATTAGAGACTTTTTAAATCAGTGTTAGGGATAGTAGATTTAGTTTACTCTGTCATCAAAGAATGCTCATGAAGATGTCAATGCTGATCAGCTGAATAAAATACTGGGATTTGACAGCTTGCGGTAGATCTTATGAGTTAAATAATGAAGATCTTTCTTTTGGTTTCTGACCTTTTTTCTTTTTCTCTTTATTTAGGACTACAACAAATCAAGTACCCAGAGTTTAAGTGACACTGGATACTCTTCAGATGGGATCTCCAGCTCACAAGGAGAAATCGTTGGTCAGATCCGGGAGGAGGCCGTCAAGCTGAATGAAAGAGCTTCTTCATTCCCCTCAGAAATTACCAAGCTGGAAAGCTCCATGAAACCATTGCTAGAGTCAAAGACTATGTCAGATCAGAAGAACAGGCCTCATTCACTTTCTGTAGGTCAAGGATGCAGTCCTGAAGATGATGCAGCTAAGGAGGAATCAGAGGATGACCTTAGTTGTAAGCTTCGGCATGATTATGTGGAAGACAGCAGTGAAAGTGGTCTCTCGCCATTGCCAGTAAGACAAAAGAAGTCACATAAAGATGTTACAGATGAAGAGTACATGAGGAGACAGATTATGGAGATGAGTGCTGATGAGGAAGAATTGGAAGAATTTGGAGACCAGAAAACTAAAAAAGCACATAAAACCACTGGGGATTTAAACAAAGATAGAAGACGACTTGCTCACCAGTCAAATAGTTTTGAAGATGACACAAAGACATCAGAGGGTGCATATAAGACAAATGAAGAAGAAGATGTTGTTATGGCTGGAGGACTTAGGCGTTTTAAGACTATCGAGCTGAATAACACCAACAGCTACAATCGAGACATAGAGCTCAGCACTGAGCATGACCTAAGAGAACCAGAGCTAGAAATGGAGAGTCTGACTGGTTCTCCAGAAGAGCGTTCCAAGGGAGAATATTCATCCACCCTACCAGCCACCACTCCCAGCTACACCTCTGGAACATCCCCCACCTCTGTGTCATCCATGGAGGATGACAGTGACAGTAGCCCTAGTCGAAGAGCACGACTTGAAGAAGCAAAGCAGCAGAGAAAGGCGCGACATCGGTCCCATGGGCCACTGCTGCCTACTATTGAGGACTCGTCTGAGGAGGATGAACTTAGAGAGGAGGAGGAGCTGCTTAGAGAACAAGAGCAAATGAGGGATCTAGAACAACAAAGGATTCGAAGTACTGCCCGAAAAACAAAGAGAGATAAAGAGGAGCTGCGCGCACAAAGGCGCAGAGAAAGGTCTAAAACCCCTCCCAGTAATCTTTCTCCTATTGAGGATGCGTCACCAACAGAGGAACTAAGACAGGCTGCTGAGATGGAGGAGCTTCACAGATCATCATGCTCTGAATACTCACCCTCTATGGACTCAGAGGCAGAAGGCTTTGAAATTATTGGTGGAAAGTTATACAAATCGGGGAATGAATTTAACCTTCCTACTTTTACATCACTCTACTCCCCGACAGAGAAGACAACAGGAATGCCGCCATCTGACAAAACTTTGAAAAGTGCAGAGGAGGTCTATGAGGAGATGATGAGGAAAGCACAGCTCATGCAGAAGCAGGGACAAACAATTAATCAGCAGAAAATGGCCTCTCAGTCAGATGGTGGACATCGTCTTGAAGCTGGAACTTCTCTAACTCCTGGCTCAAGCCCAACGCAGTCTGCTGCGCCTATGTCCTTTTCCACAACAGGCAGTGATCCAAGAATTGCAGGAATCCATGCTGCACAACATCTGTCAAAAGAGACACAGAACAGAATGATGACACAGAGTGCCAAAATTGAAGGCGTTGTTGGAGTTGCCACAACCAAAGCCCAAACAAGTCAGGCTGCCACAACTCGACAGGCAGGTACCACAGGTCCTGCTGGCATCAGAGCTGGCTCCCAGAGGCCAGCCCAGGTGGCACCTGACGCCGGATCATCCTCCCTGACCTCAAAAATGTTTTCCCTTTTCAAAGGTCCAAGCCCCCCAGTTTCTCCCTCTGCTTCACCTACACAAAGCCCAACACATACACCATCTGCACGACCCACTGGTGGTAGTGGCCGGCAGCTGCCATCTTTGCCTAGTGGTGCTACATCAGCACAGGCATCCCATGGAGCTCAGGCACCTCAAAGGGCAATGTCTCCACGTCTTATGCGACAACAGTCTTCTCAAGATTCCCCAGTGATGCCGCTAACACAGGCCTCTGAAACACCTAGTCCATCCAAGCCAATTACTGTAAATTCTTCCACTTCACCATTGTCATCACCAACACAGGTCAGTTGCAAAACATTGTATAGCTCGCAGCCCACTTCAATGAGTTCCCCAACATCTCAACAAATCCATCATTCACAACAACCCCTAAAGCATTCTTCTCAAAATATTGAAAAATTAAATGTTGGTATTAGTGCTGTAACTACAAGTGTGCAAAGTCATGGCTCTATGGAAAATATAGCTCTATGTAAAGTATCAAATGTTCCAGGCACTTTGAATATTGTGGGTCAAAGCCAAATACTTTCAAGCCCCAGTGTTGTAGATTTGAGAGCCCCATTAAGGGCAGCTCCAATTATAATGACAGATCAGGGTATGGATCTAACATCCCTTGCCACTGACACAAGACGTTACTCTTTAGGATCAGAGCAGTCATCTGGTAGACACACAGCAGTGCAGCCTCTTATTATGAACCTGAATGCACAAGAACAACCTTATGTATCTATATCAACACCGACAACTGTCAGTGTTACAGTAACAGGTTCAATGTTCATGTCCCAACCCAAGGCACCAGTTGTGTATGGAGATCCTTTGCAAAATCGTGTGGATCTGGGACAAGGCGTTGGATCAGCTGTTTGTTTAACCCAGACTAAGACTCCAATTACTGACCCATCTATTCCCAAAATTGATGCCTGCCTGGAAAATCTTGGTATACAGCAGCAGCAGCTGCAGTTACAACAGCAGAAGCTCCTGCAGCAGCAGCAGCTTCTTGAGCAGCAGCTCCAGCAGCACCAACAGCAATCCTCGTTTGCTCGTTACAATTTAGCGAATCAAGTGCAGCCTTTACTGATGAAAAAAGACCTTGTTGTGACCCAGACAAGCACAGCCCAGCCTGTAGTAACTGCTAGTGCCATACCTAGAATATCCCCTTTGGCTCCACCTTCAGTGTCTGGGGCTCCTGCATCTAGTGCGCCCCATGAAATGTATGGTGGAGTTGCCTTAGAACTAAAAAACAAGCCAACAGTAATGAACTTATCGACAGGTAAGCCCCATGTTATGATGGTGCAGCTTGATGAGAGTAACACATCACAAGTGGGCACAGTGACTCAGCTGGTAAAGAGAGAGGAGCAGCCCCCTGAACCTCCTCCTCCTCAGGTCTTGGATCTAACTGGCCAGATTAAACCAGAAAACCAAGTGGCATGCTGTGATGTAGTTTACAAATTGCCCTTTGCTGGATCCTGTTCTGGGTCGTTCACTCATAAGCCAACGGCAGTGTCTTCAGATAAAAATCCCACCTCTGAAACCTCTCAAACAACTCATCATCCCCACCCACCACACTATAGTGTTGGCCAACAACAACACCAGCCTCCAGTTACACAAGGATTAAAAGAGGAACATAAATCATATCCACCGTCTATAGTTCCCTCAGGAAAAATACAGCCCTCCATGTCTGATACTAATCTGCCTTCCATCAGTGATAGTAGTCACTACCAGAATAATGTCCAAGGGGGTCTGGCAGTAGATCTTAGCAGCATGAATCAGGTTTATGATGGTGGATTCCTTGGCATGGGAGCACAGTATGGTTCTTACACTGACTTACGTCACCAGGGAGACCTTGCAGGTCCTTCTTTACCCCTTCGCCGGTATGGCTCCATGTCGAATATAAATTCCGACTATGCCTTAGGTGCACGTGACCTGACAGTTTCACAGGATTCTAATTTGGCTCAGTACAGTGCAACCACAGCTAGAGAAATCAGTCGTATGTGTGCAGCTCTTAACACTGCGGACCATTTTGGAAGTCGTTATGGAAATAACCCTGAGCTGATGGCATATGGTTCTGGAAGGGGTGGACCTTTAGCAAGGCTAAATCTCCAGCAAAGTTTGGCATCAATAAGAGCTAATTTACTTTATGGACCAGATGGAAGACCAGCAGCAAATGGTCAAACTTTGACAAATCTAATAAATGCACGACAAGCAAGTATACGTGCATTGTACCCCGCTGCTATGAGAGGTGGTGATGGCATGATATATTCCACTATAAACACTCCCATAGCCTCAACTTTGCCAATTACTACACAGCCTGCCCCTGTCCTGCGTCCCATGCCAAGGGGGATTTACAGACCTTACCCCACAGGTGTTACTGCTGTACCTTTGGCTAGTCTTACCAGGTTGCCTCAAGTAACTCCCCGGATGCCCCTATCCACACAGGGACCATATTCTTACCCTTCTCTCAACCAATATCCTTCTCCAGCTACACCTTCAGGAAGTGTTCCTGCAGTAAGCAGCTCACACCAGGAAACTCCAGTATACCTTGGAAAGCCTTTCACAGTAGCTGCACAAACAGCTGCAAACGTTCCACCAACCAAATCTGCGTCACACTTAGGAGCACAAAATGTATCTGTGCCTGGTGTTCAGACTGCAGCAGATCGGCAATCAGACCCCACTCAGCAGAGTATTCCATCTCTCTCTCCTGCTCAAGGCCAAATTCCAAACATCCAACCAATGCAGTCTCAAATGCAACCACAGCAGTTACCAACTCAAACTGAGCCTTTATCTTTGACCCAAACCCAGACTCAAGCTCAACCTAGCAGTCAACCACAGCCATTGGGTCTACCACAAGGCCAGTCCCAAGTATCACCACATGGAACCACCCAAGCACAAAGTCCTAAACTCTCTCCACCTGTGGATACCCAGAAGGGTAAGGAGGATGAGAGACTGAGTCAGCAGCAAGAGCACATGCTCCAGCTAGAGCGAGAACGAGTTGAACTGGAAAACTTACGGCAGTTGCGCCTTCACGAGGAACTTGAAAGGGACCGTATGGAGCTTCAGCGTCATAGAGAAAAAGAACAGCTTCTCGTGCAGAGGGAGATTCAAGAACTGCAGACAATCAAACAGCAGGTCCTACAGCAACAGCAAACAGAGCGGGAGACACAGCTTATTATGCAAAGAGAACAACTGGCCCAGCAGAGAATGCAACTTGAACAAATACAGTCTCTTCAGCAGCAGCTTCAGCAGCAGTTAGAGGAGCAGAAAAGACAAAAGACTGCAGCAGTGGAGGCAGCAGCTGCAGCTGCAGCAGCCGAGGCAGCTGCTGCTTCAGCTGCAGCTGCAGCTGCAGCAACATCTGCCCAGGGTGCTATACAAGGGGTAGTTGTTGGAGGAGGGGCCCCTCAGGGGTTCATTATTTGTGACCAGAGTGGTAGAGTCATTCAACAAGATGGACAGAGTGTTCAGTTTTGGCAGGATGGACAAGTGGTCCAAGCAGTGGTTGCTGCAAGACCTATTCAGAGCTCTGCCTCTGAGATGTCTTTAAAGAGCACTGAAAAACAGGTGGATTCAAAGATCATGAAAAAGCAGAATTCCATGCCTCGGCTGAGGGATGGTTCTGAAGAGGACTCTGTTAAACGAATTACAGACAGTTGTGTACAAACAGATGATGAGGATGGAGAGGAAAGATTCATGAACAGGCGTAGGAGAACAAGGCGCATTGCGGACTGCAGTGTGCAGACTGATGAGGAAGATCAGGCAGAATGGGACCAACAACCAGTGAGGCGCAGACGGTCTCGTATTCCCAAGCACTCTGAATCCAGTGGTGAGGCTAAATCGGATGGATCGTCTAAAGTAGCTTCTTCAAGTATAGCCATTCAGACCACAAATGACTCTTCATGTCAAACAGAGCCAGACCAACTAGGCAGGGTTTCTCCTGCAATCCACATTACTATGGCAGAGACTTCAAAGGTTGACCTACTACATTACATTGCAGCTCCTGAAAGAACCCATAAAGGAGAGAGTCTGGCCTGCCAGACTGAACCAGAGTCTCATTCTCAGGGAGTAGTCACCCCTCAGCTGAGTGTTCCTACAACGATCAGTCCATACTCTACCAGTCTGCATATAGTTGGTGGGAGCACATCTGACCCAGTCTCTCCCAGGCTCCAAGGTGTTGCTAAGTTTGAAAGAAGGAAACCAGACCCTCTAGAAATTGGCTATCAACATCAACCAAGTGAATCTCTATCTCGCCAGCCCCCTAAATCTCCTCAAGTATTATACTCCCCAGTGTCTCCTTTGTCTCCTCATCGCATGTTGGAGACAACATTTGCCTCCCAGGAGAGGCTTAACAAGGCCCATGTTACACCCCAGCAGAAGGCCTTTACAGCTGAATCCCCCCAACGCCACCAGACGCTGCCAAGACCCATTAAGAGTGTGCAGCGCTCCATGTCGGATCCAAAACCTCTCAGCCCTACGTCAGAGGACCCTGCCAAGAACAGGTTCTCCCCATATCATCAGCAAGCCTTATCTAACAGTCAGGTATGAACTCACCACACCACACAAGGTATATATGTCAGAAGACAGCTTTCTTTCTTTAAAAAAAAAAAACTACAATTAATCATAAAAGACTGAATTAAGATTCTGATATTTTTATCAAAATTTTATTTGCTCAATATCACAACTATTGATCTTTTTTCACACACATTATTCTCTTCAATGTATATAAATATAATGGCAAACTGCATACAGAGCAATGAGCAGTTTGCCTTGTATGCATGAGGATAATAGCACAGTATCTGGCATTGAGGAGAAAGTGACAGAATGTTCTCATAAGAGCAGCTGGCCATGCTAGAAAAGCATCTCTGCTGTATCCTATCTTTTATTATCCCCCTTTACTTTCTCAGTCTGTTTTTCTCTCTCACGTTGTCCTCCTGCCATGTCTTCTATATCTGGAAAACCAGAGGGAAAGCCAGAGGGTCGTACAATATGACTGAATCCTGGTGCTGCTTTGTTGCCTTTCTGATTGTTAGCAGCTGGTCGAAGTGATTTAACACTCTGCACTTAGAACCAAATTTAGTCTGAGAAGGCTTCCACACATGAGCATCGCCTGTCTTTAGTGTTAGGATTTAATACACGGCTATTTTCCGGATTCATAACAAAATTACCATGGAGCTACACAACACATCTTTTTTGTAAGTAATAAGATTAGTAATAATGTTTTTTAAATTGTGTTTTTATCAATACAGTGACTGTTCTTGCCTGCATGCCATACATAAATATAAATGTAAAAGTAAGATACCACAAGACATCTCATAAAATTATTCAAAGGGAGGTAAAGGGTCAGAAATGGCAGATGCTTAGTTTTATTGTCATATTTATTTCAATTAGGGAACATTTCATGCTTTTATTCATATCTTTGAAACCACTCAAACACACATTCAGGTAGTTTTTTTTGTTTCAATCAATTTATGACATTGGAATCTATCTTTCCTTCGGTCATGAAATTAGTTGTGAATTTAAACAAGCTTAAATTTGTAAACCAGAATAATATGTGTTTGGCCAGTGTTCAACAATGATGTGAATACTGCTGCAATAATAAACAGAATTCACTGCTTTGTCAAAATGTTGCGTATATGTTGCCCATTGTTGCTTGACTTAAACTGCAAAATATTTTTCTAATCTGATTTCACAAGTTGTTATATAAGTCGTTACCTTTATTATATTTCATTTATAAAATTAAATGTGATATGTGGTTTGTATTTAATGTAAGTGCACAGTTTATTTCATTTTGGGTATTTTTAAATCTTACCAAATAGCGTTTTTTCATAATGCGAGTAGGAAGAAGCGTGAGTAACTAGTATATAGTAATGAGTCTAATTTGCATAAACAGATTCTGTTTATAGCCCAGTATTTGCTGATGTGTCTCTGCCTCTCCTGGCAGATGGCCTCCCTGCAGCAGCAGCAGAACTCTCTGATGAGGAAAGTAAAGAGGACTCTCCCCAGCCCCCCTCCAGAGGAAACTCCACTCCCCATCGTTACTCCAGCACAAATGTACAATTCTCCTGGCATGCCCCAAAGGGTCCTTCCAAGACCTGCACAGGGAGTCACCAAAGCTGGCCTTTTGAGTGAATTAAAAGCAGTGGAACAAGAGTCATCGAAGCTTCGTAAGCAGCAGGCTGAACTCGAGGAAGAGGAGAAAGAGATCGACGCTAAGCTACGCTACTTGGAGCTGGGCATCACCCAGCGCAAGGAGACCATGGTCAAGGATAGGGAGAGGAGAGAGTTGGCCTACCTTCGCTGTATGGGTGATGCCCGGGATTATATGTCAGACAGTGAGCTCAATAATCTCAGAATGGCAGCTGCAACTGGAACCTTTGATGCAAATGGTTTGCTGACAAGACCTAGCACTGCACCACTGAGTCAATTTACCAATGACCTCAATGCAACCTCCCAGTATCCCTCAACTTCATCTTATATGCCCTACCCATACCCTCAAAGTCTACCATCAACACAGCAGCCAGTCTCTGCTTACCAACAGATAGGTTTCCAGCCTCCACAGTATCCATCATCTTCTGCACCCCAGCCTGGGACATTTCAGCCCCATCCTCCTCCGGGCCCTGGATACCAGAATCAGGGAACTTATTCTTCCCGCATGTATAGCCAGTCGTCCTATCAGACAGATATTGGCTTGCAACAGCATAGCCATCAGGGCTTCCATTCACCTGGTCAGCCTATGCCAGGGCAGAGCCTTCCTTACCCCAGTCATAGTTCCTACCAACCAGGCCTTACATACCAGCCACAAGCAGAGATTCTTACTGTCCATCAAAGACCCAGGCAAACTTCTTTGGCAGACCTTGAGCAAAAACTTCCAACTAACTATGAGGTCATTAGCAACCCAGCAGTATCAGTGGCCACGTCAGCTCCCGATGCAAACTTTGGTTCAGCTTACAGTAAAGCATATGGACAATACCGCCCCCCTGAGCCTGGCCTTACTCACTCTGTTGAAAGCCCCACCTCTGCTTATGCCACAGATGGTCTCTATACTTCCAGCCTGGAGCAGAATATTCCAAGGAACTATGTGATGATTGATGACATCAGCGAGTTGACAAAAGAAAGCACTGGCCAGCCTACTGATGCTCTAGGTCATCCTGTTGGAGGGCGGTATCGCAATGAGAACGGCCCTGCCAGAGGAACTGCCTATGGCAGGCCTGAAGATGATCCTGTTGATGCTTATGGTAGACCAACAGGTCCATCTGGTTACCAGAGCACAGTGGACAGTCGCACCAGCACCACAACTAGTGGAGGCTCACCTTATTACTATGACGATTATAAACACACATCTCGTTCCAGTAGCCACAAACTTACATCCAAAAATCTTGCTCCTGCTGTAGTTTCTTCTAAACGCAGCAAGCACAGGAAGCAGGGAATGGAACAGAAGATTTCTAAATTCTCCCCTATTGAGGAAGCCCGGGATGTGGAGTCTGACCTCGCCTCTTACACTATGACAACATCTACGGGGGGCTCCTGTACAGTTGTGTCAAGATCCAAGAAGTTTCAAGATGATGGAACCTATGGGATTAAGAAAAATTCTTATGACCAGCAGAGATATTATGGTACCAGTCGTGATGGTCTTGAGGAGGAGGAGCGTATGTACAGCTCTGGAAGGTCCAGGTCCACAGGTTACGGTATGGACAAGATTTCCTCGAGAGACGCAGGCCATCGCAGTAAATCCTACGAAAGAGATGCCATGGAGCGATCTCAGAGAAGCACCCGCGGTGGAAGACCCCCCATGCGCAGCCAGAATTCAGAAGAAGAGAGCCCCCTTAGTCCTGTTGGGAAGCCCGTTGGCATGGGAAGAGGCTCAGGCATTTCTGAGTCCCATGATGTGAGAAATCAATATGGTTCTAGTCATTCACTGCCAGATGTGCAGGACCACCATAAGAAGGACCTTCCCAGAAGTCATGTCTATAAACCAGATGATCCTTATCTTGTTGATGACATGCACTGTGCTGTTTCTGACAGTGAAGGTAACTGGTGCTAAATTATTTGTTGTCGTTTTGTCCTCCGCCTGTAAAATATGTTGCAAAGACTGCATGCGAAGTTTGGAGACCAGCTTCATTATTTTGTTTTTCTATTTTTTTTCTGTTGTTGAAGGTTCATTTACATGTATAAAACCAAGCACATTTTATGTACATGTTCTGCATGCTTTTTTTTGTATGAAGTGGGACATGAACTATGCTTTTTTTTTGGGATTCCACAAAAATCTGCATGGCTCTGGAATGTGGGGTATGTTAGCATGTTACATTTCCCTGCTTGCACGTCAATCTGTGTGCTAGTCCACAGACCACATGAAAGAAGTTGACTGACGGTGTTTGTATTGGTTTTTGAAAAGCATATCATTTGAGCCAAGAGGAGACTGATTGGTTTGAGAAACCACGGGAGGCCCGCGCTGATCGCTCAAGACATCATGGAAGTGGAAGCCACTCCTCCACTGGAAGGCGCAGTAAACACACCTACCATGACCATGAAGAACCTCCAGAGGAATATGGTCAACCGGACGAGTACAACCAACAACGCAATTCCTCCACCACGTCACGAGACCACCGTCACCATGGCAGCAGCTCTGGAAGACACAGCTCCTCCCGCCACTCTTCAGAAGACCCCAGGTCATCACGTTCTTCCAGGACACATTCCAAAGATCCATCTGGTCGTGCTGATAATAGGATATCCTCATCTACTCAGAGAAGGAGTGGCACAGAATCCCGCTCTGCCCATGAAAGCCCCAGAAATTCAGGAGACTTCTCTCGGGAATCAGTCTCTGGTCACCACCATGGCACTGGGGGAAGGGGCCAAAGACCACAAGGAGATCGCACAGCCACCAGGCGACAAGATCCCAATAAACCACAGCAACAGCAGCCCCCTCAAGGCCATACTGGGCAGCAACAGCGATCAGGTGGACAGGGACAGTTTGGTAGACATCCAGGCCCTGAACCGCTTGATGCTACCCAACAGGGCCAGCAGCAGCATCAGCCAAGTGCACAACAGCAGCAACAGCAGCCACCACAGCAAGGCCAGATGCCTCAAAGCAGTCAGCCCACAACAACCACTGCTGCAACTGGACCAGCACTGCAGCAACAGCCCAAATCTGGACAAGCTTCATCACAGGGACGCCAGCCTGGAGTGGGATCTGCTGCAGGGCCACCAGCAGCGGCAGTAAGTTTCCCTCTTTCTACATCACCCATATCCCGCCCTATTAAATATTCAAACCTCTATGCTGGATTTTTCTAAAAATAAAGTTCTACAAAAACCCCCAAAACACAAGTATGTGATTCACCCGTACAGTAGACTAACTTGACTGTTTTGAGGCATGTTAGTGGTTGTATGATAAGTATTATGTCCCTTAGTTGGGAAATCTGATTTTCCAGTCAAAAGTAGCTGAAGCTTCACTCCTGTACAACTGTATTATTTCACATTGAGACACGGATCCTGACAAACATGCTACTGCCATCCTTCAGCATTCATAGTTAATATGCACAAATCAAAAAGCAGTGAAAACACTCAGCTAATATGAACTGCCAAAGCAACCTTAACAACATCAATATTTGTCTCGACTTAATCATATTCAGGCAAAACTGGAAGCCTCACCTGCGGCAGCCACAGCAGGAGTGAAACCCACCATAGGAGTCCCAACTCCACCCCAGCCTACCAAAATAGCCACACCACCTCTAACAGGGATTGGTAAACTCAGTTCTGCTATCATTACAAGCCACATAACTTGTGAAAACGTGTAAAACAGAGCATGCAGTTTGTGACAGGTATGTGTTTTCAATTTTCCGGAACAGGCTCTAAAGCGGCCCCTGTTGGAATTGGTAGCAAACCAGTAGGTATTGGCAGCGCTGCAGCAGGACAAGCACCTGCTGAAGGGGAAAATGTTCTGACTAAAATCCTGCAGGGAGGGGCAGCGGAGCAGGCTGGAAAACTTGGAGATGGTACAGTCCCGTCCTTTAGCTTTTGTTTCAAAAGCAGAATCCGATAATAATGTCTTCTAGGAGATTAATGGAGCTCCTCAAATGGATTTGGATGTTTTCTAAAACTGTGCTTATTCTGTGTTTATTATAGCTTTGTCTGGCCTTGGAAAGAAGTTCACCTCATTCTGGTGAACAAATGAGGGTGAGTGAGATTAATTTTTCGTGTCTACACATGATTTGTTTTACTATCAGATCAGTTGAAAATGTTTCAGATATTCAAGCTGTTCATTTAAGAGCAAGAATTACTTCAGGTGTCATTTCAAATGACTTTTACTGTGGAAATCACAAGGCATTTGCTTGTTGCTTCTCTTTTCTTATTTGTTTTAATTGAACTGTACTTTTTCTTTCAGGGTATGCAGAAATTAAATGAGATGGATCAGATTAGTTGCTTTGTACCAGAAAAACCTATGAAACCACATCAAATACATTTCACATTACAGCGGATGTAGAAGAAGCAAGATCCCTGAAAGCATCAGTAAGAACAGTGTGATTATGTAATTTTCTTGTCTTTGCTGTACTTTTGTGGACAACTGCTTTGTTAATTTTTTATGTTAATTTAAACTGTAATTTATGAAACCTCTGACCACTGGTGATACTTTAAGTTTAACTCTATCAGTTTCAGCCTTTTCATCCTTATTTGATACACTGAGCCTTGTTGAGTTTTTGAAAATATGAAATACCTTCAAACATTAATCTATGAGGAGACGTAGATTAATGTTTTATCTCCACAGATTGTCATAATGAGAAGACTCAAGTGAAGTGATGACTCATTAAATGCTGTGAATCTTTGTACTTTTTTTCTAACCACACATGACTGGAACAGAGTTGGAATCAAAGGATGCCTTGTCAGCACTGAATTCCCCAGACATGGGTACGCGATTGAGGTGAATTTAAAAAGGGGAATTGCTTCGTCAGCAAGCTATTACTTGGCATGAGCCGGGGGTTGCAGAGGCCTGAAATTAAGTGGATGCTTTGACAGAGCAACAGCCTGAGAAAGATGATCCTGAGGATGACTGAGACCTCATCAGACCTCTGGTAGGTCATGTCAGAGTGTACGTGTGTGTGTGCTGCAAGATCACTGGGTAGATATTTTTAATCAGTGTTTTATTTGTTAGCTTTGGTTACTTCTATGGTGTTGTCATTATCTCATTGCAATGTCAAGCAAGGTAATGAGTCAGTGCTCTTGAAACCTGAACCTAATAGGTTAAACCAGAGGCCAGCTCTAGTATGGTTTATCCTCTGACTGGTGACACCTTCAATAATCTGGACCCAACACAGTGTGCTATAATTAACCTGTGACAGCTAATTGTAGCTTGGCTTTAATGTCAAACACGCAAAGGCAACCGGGACAATATAGAGCACGTGTGGGTACTCCAATTCACTCATTGAAGCATCTTTACATTGGTGAATGAACTATTCCTGCTGAATGCTGCACAGCTACAACCTGAAAATAAAGCATGTTGCAAAGCACATCCTCTGTCAAAATGCTTGCTGCGGCTTGCAGCAGTAAAGTTCTTTTTTATGTATATCTAATACCCAGCTGTCAAATGTATTTAGAATAAAAATGAGTTAGGTATGTCATTCTTATATATATTCATATATTATTCTTATACCAGACTCAGTGGATTAGTGACGATTGCCCCTACTACACTTGCACCTCACATCTGAGTTGCAATGTGATAGTCCGCTGGTGCCGTGGTGTGCGGTAACATAGCAGAGGATTTTTCTGTGTCGATGGATTTAGCTAAATCAAAACCTATTTGTATTAATCTTTTTTGTAAATTAACTTTTTTAGTTTTATCCTTAATTTAATGCATGGAGTCTATAAAGTGAATTGAGTTTGCATTTGCATCTGCTCTGATGGATTCAATATTTTTCATTAACACTTGATTTATTACCACCAGATTTTACATCTTCACTTTCTTTCAGGTCGATACTGAGGATGCAGCAAAGTGGATAGGTAAAAAGAGCTCTGCTCCTCCTCATCCTCCTGGGATCTGAGTCGGTGCAACCTCGCTAACTAACGCGGGTGGATGTCATGGGAGAAATTCTTTGGGTTTGTTCATGCATGTAGCCTCCTTGAAAGCTCCATAAAGAAAGCCTCACTGCGCCCTCTACAGAGATTTGAATGCAACGCCACACTTGTCTGAGGAGTGTACATTGCTCAAGGATTCTTGATTCTACATTGATGTCTTCAGCGTATTTTCATGCAAAAAAAAAGAAAAAAAAAAGAAAAAAGATATGGACAGATTTCATAGTTTTTCTTGTGCAAAAGAGACTGATCTAAGCCACAATGACACCACACATCCAGAAAAGACTTAGCGTATCACAGCAATGACAACTAACCTGGCGATTCCATAAATATCTTTGAATGCTTGGTTATTCTGATTTCCACGTTACATTCCAGTATGGGGAATCTGGTCCTTTTGTTGAATGACTTTTTAATTTCTCGGTCTTTTTGTTTCAGAGTCTACAGAATGCATTGTTTAAATGTGGATATGAGAATGCACGCACAAATGAAAAAATATTTTAAAAAGCCCATATTCATACTTTTTCACTACGTAATAGACGTCGCTCCTCATTAGCTGTAGGTCTTAGGAAGAGGGAATTACTAGCAGCGTGCCCACAAGTGTGAGATTTTCCGAAATGAGAGGACCAAAAGAAAGAGTGGCCACGGTTCGTTGAAAGCCACCACAAAGCCATTGTTATTCTCAGCCCCAGAGCTTTCTGGGACTTTATCCTTTTAATAATTTGTCTTATCCTTTAGTTTTTAGTATTTTTTTTAATTCTTTTAATTTTGCCTGATATTCAGTGAATTGAAGAGCCTTATTCATTACATGTTTTTACTTGTATACCTCATATGTTTTAAAACATCCATATCACCATGAATTTCTTTTTACACTGTATATTATTGTATGTACATAAAACAAATCAGAGATTTAATATGTAAATTTATCATTTGTGTTTTTAATTATTCACTCTCCATTGTCTTTTTTGTTGTTATTGTTATGTGTTTTTTCTTTGGTAAAACATTTTATTTTTTAACTTATATTTGTTTGAATCCACATTTTCTTGCATCAAATGATTTGCTTATTGATTTTAAAAAGCAATAGCATGCAGAAAATGGTATATAGCACAATGGTATAAATGTTGTTTAAATCAGTGATGGGAAATATCGAACACTCAATAAATAGTTGTTAAACATTTGTCAAAGGGTTTACAACCACACTACCATGTACAGACATGCATGAAATGTGCAGATGCATAAGAGCATGCAGACAGGTGCATCACAAAGCTAGAGAGAGAGAGAGAGAGAGAGAGAGACAGAGAGAGAGAGACAGAGAAATGTGTGTATCTATGTATATATACAGTGCATCACAGTGTATACACTTTGCATCCTAGTTCCACTTCAGAGCCAAGGTTAATTGAGTTCTCACCAAATAGACTTGTTAACCTCCTACTGATTAATGAGGTTTCCAATTCACTAAAAAGCTGGGCCCACTGCCTCTATTTGTGCAAACACGTTCACAAAGACACACATGCATACTCATACAGGAGAGGATGAAAGCAATTATCAATTCAAATGTTCTATGCAATGACTCATTTTGAAGTGATTCAGCCTAAAACAGTTTATTATCATCACTGCACTCATGAGGAGAAAAAAAAAACTAATTATGAACTAAAATCATAAAAAAGAAAAAAAAGGTAATGAAAATGTTTTTACTTAGCAACTTGTCTGTATGAATTTGAATATTGAATATTGAACTAGAATTGTTTTTATTTTTGTGGCATGTTTCAACCCCTCACTCCCCGCATGGGAGACTTGTTGCCAAAGGGTAAACTGTGTAGACTGTCGGTTCTGAATGTCTACCATCATGTTGCTTTGAAGCATGGGTTTGCTTGGCTTTGTCTGGCTGTTTGTGAGCCCTCATTCAGTTGTTGTGCATTTTGGCTGACCTGGGCTCCTCAGTGTTTGGCTTGCAGTGACTGTCTGTGCTGCTATAAACCTGTGATACAGATGGTCAACACTTCTCATTAGTACGTGTCGATGTACATATTGGGTGTCAGTATAACTTGCAGGTTGAATGGAGTGTTTCTATTGGGTATCTCATCGTTGATTCAACCCACTCAGCAGCCAAGCCATTTGAAAGGTGCATGATTAGACCTTTTATCTGTGGAAGTTGTACCAGAATTAAAAAAAGTAAGGCATGATTTCACCAAGGTTCGCCTAACAAACCTTGACTGTCACTGGCCAGTGCAGAGAATATAAATGAGAAAAATGTTTAGCCAGTCATTCACAAATCAGGGCACGTCATTTTGAAAGCACAAGCCTGACTGGTAGCACTTGCTGCTCGATGAAGCGCAGGAATGTGGGGGTTGCATAACAGTGCCTCAAACTGAACAGTGAAAGATCTGCATCTGAGCAAAGTGAAGGTGCGATATGGTCAATATGAGGCGCATGAGACAAAACAGCCTTCAGCGCAGCCATGCGGATGTAGAGACAGACACATTCTCACATTCTTACTGTAAATACAACCTCATTCTTCTGTACAGCTTTTGAGTTTTGAGTACGGCTGTCCTGTGCATTCCCATGCCGTATTTGCTGCCAACTTTTGTGTATAAAATATTTGTTACTATCACAATAATGAGGATGAAAGTAATGATGATAATGATTATTATTAATGCATAAGCATAGTGTATGTGGCTGACTTGTATTGACTGTTTACAACAGTGGAACAAAACTTGTATTGAGAAACATATCCAGTCTGTGTAGAGTTTCTATACATATTGTATTTGTAAAACAAAAAGTGAACAAACCTCCATGACAATTGCAGAGTAGAATGCCTTTGTCAGACTAACAGGAGGTCTTCAGTTTGATGGATATGACCTGCAATGTAATGAAAGGAAGTAATGGGGAAAAAAATCAACAAAAAATCTGGAAAATGTCATTCACTGTTGTAAGTGCAATGGGCAAAATGTCAGTCGTGTATCCATTGTGAAACCTTGTGTTCTATTCAGTGTATTCCTGTAAACAGATAAGAGTACATTTTGGTGCATCATGTCAAGTAATGTGAAAATATTGACCCTGCAATTTCCAAACAGAGAAAATAATAAAAAAGAAAAGGAGTCACTTGTGATTTCTGTGTGGAGTCTCTGTGTGAAAGTGTGTGTGTCACCAGTTTCCTTACAGTTCTCATAAAGGCACTCAGTTGTAGGTTAGGTTTGTCGAGGGTTTGCCACTGATAGAAGAGCGAGATCAAGAATAAGGCCTTGGCGGCAGTGAGAATGTTCAGATAAGACCAGGCTTTATGCGTTAAGGTGGTGATGACTTATCCCAGTGTGGGTGGCAGAGAGATGTGTGAAGAGTGGTGTTTGGTAAGATGGTGGTGCGAGAATGAGTGTGCATCTAAATAGGACAAGAAAAAAATGTCTTCTAATATTGTTCATGTCTTTGTCAGGTTTTAAATGTCTTGTCCTGAAAGTTATAGAATGATGAGGAGCTTTGTTAAAAAAAATTCCATCCTTTTATAATTGTGGAAAGACAGAGAAACAAGCGTTTGCTCTTATAATGCAACAAATGGAGCTTAAAACTGGAACAGCAAGTCTGAATATTTTTACTCAGACATCAATGTCCTGACATTGACGCTTGTCTTTGCGTGAAACATTGATCAGTGACATTTTCTCAGAGGATGGGATGAGTTTCCTTCCTCTCCCTCGTTCCTGTCCATGTCCTGCTGTGTTTCCTGTCTGTCTTCTCTTGTTAGTATCTGTTTTTTTTTTGCCTTCATCGCTGCATCTGCTGACTGCAGATTGCTTATTCATCTCACCTGTGGCTCATTACCTCTCAGCCAATCCTGATCTGCTCCTCACTTACGGCCAGGTGGTCAGGTACTTTCAGAGATCTCAGCAGGAACTTTAGTCCTGTGCTCAGGGAAAGCTTTTTGTTGTGTTTGGTCATTTTGGCCTCTGTTCTCACCACAATCGTAATAGTTTAAAATATATATATTTTCTTGCTTTTCCTCACTGGAACAACTTGAAGCCAGCCTCTCTCATGCTTGGAATTCTGTCCTTGGAAAGTATTCATTCATTCCCTCAATGGTGTTCGGTGCAAGCCCAGTATGAGCCCATGAATCAGCGGCAAACCCTGGTTTATTCATGGGACTGATTTGGTCCACCATACCATTTCCTGTTTAAGACAGCGAGTCAACCATCCTCTGATTTGCAGAGCTTGACTGCCCTCAACTGGGCAAATGATGAATTAGAGGGAAGGGAAGCCAGTACATGAGTCTAAGGGTTTTAATTCTGGTAGCCATACATTTCAAGAGTAATCTGCAAATACAAATTAGCAGGTGGATTGTAAACTTTAAAAAAAGAAAACTTTTGACGTAGGATGCAATTCTACTTTGTAGTAATGAGGGGGTGAAATAATGTGACTTAAAAAATATATAGAAATGCATTATTCATATACAGAAGTTCTCTCTAAAAGCAAAGAGTCTCCGCAGTGCACTATGGAGCACTGAATAAGTTATGAAATATCGTAAATTCACAATTCCCTGATCTATTTGGGAACATATAAGAGATTCTAGACAATCCTTTATGTCTACTGTGGACATAAAGAATGATCAATAATAATTGTAGACTCAAATCCGATTTCTTGGGCTCAACTCCCATTAACTCACTTAATGCTACTAGCTATACACATTTTCTTGTGTTTACTAAACCAAATCACCGCTCAAGGCAGTAACCTCTTTTGTAAACATTTTCCTAAACACAAAAGATACATCCATGCATTATGGCCTTCAAAAATGTCTGCAGACATATGTGTATTCTTAGATCAGCACAACACACACAAAAGATTTTTTTTCACACAACTCAGTGGTCCTCTCTGCTTCTTCTTGGATGCTTATCTAGACTCTGTAATGGTCTATAATAATTACCAAAGTGTCCAGCAAATGAACTTCCACCCCGCTTCTCCACTAAAAGACAGCCAATGATTTGTTTAATGAGGTCAGTCTGTGCACTGACCTGAAAACTCTAGTCAATGATCTTTTGATCCATGAAAGCCTGAATCATCTCTTTATTATTCCTTTTCCATCATATTCTCGCCTAAGAAGATATGACTCTTTGAGAGAGGCGTTTGTTGGGATTTGAAAGAGGATTTATTAAGCTCATTGCCAGAAACATAATAAAAGAGTCTGCAGAGAACCACTGCAGTCACCAGATCCATTAGTACAATTCAAACGAGGTAAACAGTGGACTATCTTCTTTTAAGAGATGACAGAAAGCTCCAAAATGGTTGAGAGACCTTGAATAGTTTGTTTGTTACTGGTATAACTCAGACATTGTGTCATGCTTAGTTAAACGTGTAACACAGTAGGCCTGCATACATCAGACTAATCGATTGTCTCTTATTATTGTCCTCACTTGTCACTTGACCCTGTCCTCATACTAAGGGCATAAACGTTAAGTCATTCACTGTAATTGGGGTGCTTGGCTTCATCCATTTCCCGAAAGTCATGACGAGAGCCTCTGCTTCTGAAGATTAACTAGTTATTAACATCAGCAGTGACCTCAGAGGGACACTTCATGACTCACTGCCAAGTGATGGGAAGCAGAAGAGGCTGGAGCAGAATAGTGGTCCGAAAAAGGAGCTGTTTGTCACTGCTGTTGCTACAGTGCTCCAAAAGATTAGGTTGTTGCCTTGAAATCAACCTGAATCATTGTGTCACAAGAACAATACATTGTGATGTACAGGAAAGGCAGCAGTCAGAAGACGTTTTCATTCTCCTTCAAATGGAAAAACCTTCCAAGTGAAAAAGGATTTGCTTAAGGAGACTGTTGTATTTAAGTTTAATCACAGAAAGCCAGTGGATCCATTACTCTTTCAGCTCTAAATCCAGCTGGCTGCTGAGCAATTGGAGAAGCTAATGGTGAGAGAGGGTTGGCAGTTCAGGTTTTGCTGCTTCACCTGTCACTCACCAGCTCTCCCTGCTTCCCTCTGAGAACTGCAGTGTCGATAGAAAACCCTTTTAATAAAGAGACAATCCCTCAACAAGAATGTAAAGCTTTGTATTCATTGTAAGCAGTCTCAATAAAGATATCTTAGGAAATATCAGTCACCCGAAGTGACATGTCGCTTTTAAAAATATTTTTTCCCTTGATTCTTCCAGAGTGCAACTATTTTACAGAGAAAAACATTTTTTGAAAATATAAGTAACCCGTATCGATGGGTCCGTTTGCCCCTTGAATGTGCCTGCACTAAGCTATCCTGTGGAGCAGTGTTGCGCACTGAGTGCCAATGCGACATTAGGATCGCTGTAACCAACGACACAAGTTTGGAAAGAGAAGCCATGTGGTCCATTGTATTGACAGATTTGTGTTTTCTTTATCTAGACTAATCGCACAAGAGTAAAAAGTGGAGAGCCAAATGTGGCTTTAATTCTTTGAGACAGCTGGCTCAAAGGAAATGTGATGAGCACATAGCTTCCAGTTTGTTAGATTTTTTGTAAAGGTAATTGTTTCAGGCTTCAATATTTTGAGAAACCCAAACAGGTTGTTTTGAATTTTTCATGAGGTGCAGAATGGATTCTAAACAATAATTCAATCAGGTCTTGGTGTTGTTTGTCCTCCAGTGAATTAAATAAAACAAACCTTGGTTTAAACCAGATCATTTAAAGTGAGGCCCTAACAACTTATTCCCACCTTATGCCACTAAAATTGACAAAGCTTTCTGTGACGTGAACCCAGATGATTCTGTAGCAGCACTAAGATACTGTGTGCCATCAATTTAAAAAAAGTTATTCAACTAAACATGCAGTGAATAAAATCTCAGAAACAACTTAAAAAATCCATTAACTATTCACTGATACTAACTGATACTCCAATCGACATATTTAAATGTCTTGTTTCTGTCAGATATACTTGATGTCAGATATACTAAAAGCATCAGTTTTCTAACAGCTGAGCACCAGTAATCCAAGCACCAATGGATATTTCATGGTTTCTTCAAAATAACTTTACTCCTTCTTGAAACATATCTTTGGTTTGTTTAGTTTTGTGTGATGGTGGATTTGTACACATTAAAGTACAGTAAACTGTTAAGTTCCTCCTATTACACACATTGGAAAGATGCTGCTTAGACACAGGGAACACTGCTGATATAGTGAGAAGCCTCAGATGAACAGCACAGGACAGACAAATCTAATAATTACCTCTCATGTTCTGTCTGCAAATGTGATACTGTAATGGAAACACAAATGCAACCCAGAGGAAAGAGCTTTTGAACAGTGGTGTTATTAAAGTCCCCCTTTTTCAACCTTAGCTGCTACATCAAGTTTGTGTGCATGTGTCAGACAGCAATACACGGAAACAATCAGTATGCGCTGGTGGATTCAGGAGACAGAAATGCTGATGCTTCTCCTTTGGGCCCTGTCAAGCACACTTAGCATCAGTGTTTATAAGGCAAAATGAGAGAAAGTGTCTATAATTCTGTGTGGCTTGAAGACAGGAATTAAACAGGAGCCAGGGGAACATTGTTTTGCTTTGGAAAAGGTCGTTGGGCTGTCTGCTCGAACAATTGTGAATGATGTACTCTCCCCATGATGGAGACGCAGGATATTTCATTCGATCAGACTTTTTTTTAAACATCAGCCAAATCTCCTCTGTCAGAACAACCCAAAAAACGGGAGGATATTTTCAAAAGAATTCATTCAATAACACTGGCTGGCTGCAGATGCTTCATTGATTTACTGAAGACACCATTATGCGTCAGTGCTTTAGTGCCTGCAGGATTATTCCAGTAGCTCACATTTAGGAGGCATTCCTTTTTTGGGGTTTTGTTAAAGACGAATGCCAAGCACTGGTCTTTATGATTAAAACGACAGCTTTGCTTCATGACTTGTTACCAGGTCCTTATATGAAATTCTGGTAATCTCACAGAGAGCCAGAAGAAGTAAGAGGAGTGAGTGTTATTTGATTAGAAACAGTCAGGCATGTACTGTAAGTCTGTAAAACAAGGTGTAATTCTAACGCTGCTACCACAAAGAGTTTTAGCGTAGTTAGGTTTGAATACACTGGAGGACTCTTTCAGGACAGTAGTTTCCTGTTGGATTTGATATTCATAAGATGACCAGCTGTATCTTTTTATCATGGAATATATTACCAGACTATATATACTGTTCCATGCCAGTTTAAATATGGGATTTAATTTGTTGTCCCCAATTTAGTGTGATAGATGCTTTGTGCATATTGTGAGATAACATGAGACTAAACTAAAATGATACACACACACACACACACACATACTGTATATTTATAAATAAAGAAAGAGAGAGAGAGAGAGAATCCATGTATCATCACATGGAATGCAGGCCAACAGTATCTCTCTTTACTCTGCAGTCTTTTATTTCTTCTGATCCTGCACACTTGAGCCTCTCTCATGCAAGAACTGGGTGAGTCTGCCTCTTCTGCTCAGCCATTTAGAAAAAACAGGATCAGATGTGAAAGGGTGCTATTGAAGCAAGAAATTACAGGACAGAAGGCCAACATAGAAACGCTTGGACTTTAAAGCCCGAAGTCGAGCCTTTCAGGCTCCTTCTTCCTGCCAGGATTAGCAGATGATTTCTGAATTTCCCTTGTCGCAGTGGTGCAAATAAACTCTAAACCTTTCATCTACTCAAGCACTGCAATGGACGAAGTGTTGGGTAGCTTGATTTATTTTTATTTTTCCATTGTTTTTCATAATGTTTTGTGTTAATAAAGCTTCATTATTATCCTAGAAACTTTATCCTTCTATTTTTTTATGAAGAAATTACATTTCTGAGAGACAAACACAATAATTTGTGAAATTAAGCCCCTTTTTGTTAGAAATATTTTGAAACACTATTTTGAAATAATGACAAATGTTTAAGTATATTTCTTTCACAGAATATTAACATTAATCCTGCATCTCAGTAAGAGACAAAATTTCAAATTTATGATCAGATAACAGTGTTACAAGCATTCCCAAATTGTAATGAAATAAGTTTAATCTGATGGTGTCTTTATGGATTAAAAAAAAGCTCTATCTGTGCATATGCATGACTTTTACACGACTTTACACGTCACATATTTCAATTGGGATGTTGACTTTTTCTGCATAAGCTTTTCTGTTTTTTGACAGTACAAAATTCCCTATTATGAAGATAACTTCCAGTCTGAATTTCATCCAGGGGTTACAGGTCTACAGCAAACAAATTGAACCCAGTTGGGAAGGTTCTTGAAGGTTCTTGCTTACAGTTAACCGAAGGAGTGATGGATGTTTAGTTGTGAAGTCCCTTATGCATTTTCCTCATTTTCACATCATGAAAGGTGTTGTTTTGTTTCACTTACCAAACCTCTAGTGTCTGCGTGTACTGTCATATTAAGGTCTGTGATCAGAGCGATTTAAATCAGATGAAATAACTAAAACTGAAAGTTAACTCAGCAAGTTAAGTGACACCTTCAGCATTGATACTGCACGAAATGATGGGTGGGTTGTGTCTTTGTCATTTGCATTTTTCTTTTTTGCTACACTGGTATGAATGTTGTGCACATGTGTTCAGAAATACTTCCATATAAACTGGTGGAAACACTGCATATGCAGGTTTAAATGATCTTTCAGGTTGGGATACTGTCTGCGGACTGATGTTTGGACATCTTTGTGATCGGGAAAGACCGAGAGAAGTCAAGGTAACACTAAAAATATCCCTAAAAAATGACAAATATCTTCGTGCCGCGCTGTTGGTCGCGGTCCGAGACCGAAGATGATGTGAAATTCAGTGCAGGCCGCTCTCCGCATCTGATCCGCCCACCCCCTCCTGTCAGCTGCCACTTGCAGTAGTGGTGATGCTGCTCCCTGGTGTGTAGAGGAGGAGAGAAAGCGTGCCCGCTGCCCAATGACAGCGCAGGATGCTGAGAGAGGCTGCTCGGGTGAATGGAGGCGACAAGATGCCGTCTAAAGGAGAGGAATTAACATCGATAAAGGTATATGTCTTCATTCAATTCCGCACTCCTTCCTTATGTTTTATAGCACAGAAGTAAAGACACCCACAACGCGGTGAGTGTCTGCTCGTTTTTCTGTTTTATTTTCGGCGTTTAACCGGAAAAGCCATCGGCTTTGCGCGTTTTGGAAAAAGCACTCCGTGCTCGCAGATCGTACTGAGACAGACAGCCAGTGCTCACTCGACACCCGAAAAACGAGCATTTTAAAGATGTTACCACAGCACCGTTTTTTTTTTTTCCAAACCGGGGGACTCGGTCGGCTTCCCCCACAGCGGGGGAGAGCACAACACTCCGTTGGTGTGTTCAGGTGCTCGGCACACGCACGCCGTCGAAGATGTAGGCCCGGCGAGCTGTCAGTCGCACGGCCGAGCCCTCCTTTGCTGCATCACATGTAATTAAGCCTTCCCATGAAGGTGGCAGGCACGGAGGCGCGTTATGTTCGCGCTGATCGGAAAAAAGGGTTCAAACCGACACTTGCTCAGCCCTTTGCCGGGCGGTGCGGTGCGTGAAGGCGCTGCTCCAGTCTGCCAAGGAATGGAAGACTGGAATCTGGTGGACGAGTGAATGAGCCACTTTGGTGTAAAACCCAACAGCGTTTGGCCATCCATTCAACCAGGCCCTGGAGTCAGCGGGGGGCTTGGAAGCGTCTGGCTGTGTAGTAGAATACCTGATGAGGAGGCTGCATGTGTTGCGCTTGCTCCAATCGCTGTGCGCCTAAAGGAGCCGGCTGCCTGCTCTCTCACACGAGCCACCACCAGCCCACAGCGCAGACTTTGTCCGCCATTGGCATGACTTGAGAAGCACTTTGCCTCAGCCCCTTCCTCCACACGGTTTGATTAGATTTAATACCCACAATTTCTAAATGTCAGAGCTGCTGAACAGAAAGCGTTCTGTCTTACCCCACAGATAGCCGGTGGTGTAATCATTGTTTCAGGGCATCTGTATCATCTCAGCTCTTTTCACTCCACTGCTCTCAGAAACACAGGATTTTTTCTTTCCATCATTGGTCTGCACTGGCATAGGTTGACCGGTTTTCAGTGAGGGTAGCCATGGTGGCTTCAAAACTTCACTAATATGATACTTTTGGGCTTTACATGATTAGATGTTTATTTATCATTTATTTTATTTAGTGTTTTACGGATTTATAACATTACAATTGGGGGTAAAGTGCTTATGGTGACTGGATTAGTCAATCAAGAAATGAATTGTCACCATAGATAACATTTTTAAGGCAAGTAAAGTTTCTGTTTAGGGTCCGTGTTTGCGTGAACAGCTCTGAAAACTGTATCCAGTGCTCAACAGATGGCATAATAGAACTCAAAGTAAATTGCAAACTAGGTGGTGCTAGGTTTCCTTTTAGTATTGAAAAGATGGGAGTATGAAGACATGACTAGAAATGCTGAAAACTTCTACTAATGTGTCAAAAAACATCTACACTCATTTGAGTGGGTTTGTGCCTGTCTCAAAGAAAACTTAATAGCTCATTTAGAAGGACTGGAAACACAACTGACAAAGACTGAAATGATGTGAACACCTGGATAATTGCTAAATGAAAAATAATAACAAAGAAATGAAACCATATCTCCAACACATTTTAGGTTGGCTATGTTCTAAAGCAAAAAATGAAGACTACTCGTCCACACAAGACCGCAGAAGTGCGCCATATTTGGGGATTGAATATGGAATATCTGTAAATATGTATGACACAGACAGCAGACAGGAGGGAATAGACAGTATGATCTTATTGTGCTGAAGCCCAGTTTCAGTGTATCACAACCCAGAAATGTTCTGGACGTGGTACAATAAGATGGAGGGTAAATAAAGACAGATGACAGAATCTGTGCAGAGAAATCCACCAACATCCACTCAGAATGTGAACAAACAGAGTTGATATTTTTCCACTTCTTTTTAAGGAGGAAACAATTTGGGAGGCTCTGATTCAGTGAGACAGCTGACAGTATGGATGACTGAGGACCCAAAGGCGCAACATGCAACAAATCCCAATTGGGATCAAAGGGCAGCCTTTGGAGTCTCGTATCAGAATCTCATATCGGCTCAACAGTGTGGCTCTGGTGGCTCATTGTTTTCAAAACTTTTCTGCTTAACAGCCAATCATTTCCTTAAAATGTTCAACTACGAATAACTAAACCAGCTAAAAGTGATTTGCACAAAAATGTTAGAGGGTTGTTTACATGTATTTACCCCTCCGTTTGCATGGTAAGGAAAGAGGATAGAGAGGCAGGAATATATCAGTAACTGTCAAAGTCACTGGCGCATCAGTGGTGACATGAACAAAGACTGACAAACACTGACTCAAAGATCGTCCACAGGAAATCCAGCCTGGCACTGGAAAGCAGTGCCTTGATTGATAAACACTAACAGTCTATCCTAGAACCATGTATCTTTGCCTCCTCCTGAGAAACAGCAAAGACGTCTGCAAGTTTCAGAGGATTCTTTTGTAGCTTTGACCGCACAGCCCTGAAATGACCATGAGTTTGACCAAGAGCGATAACAACAGTTATTACACGACGCTCATTTAAAAGCCAGAGCTGATATTTTTCAAAGGAAATTATGTTGCGCGGGCAATGAATGAAACCTCCACAGGCAGTCTCAGTCAAGGTTTTAGGATAGATTCTCTTGGATTTGTCCTGCTTTTTATATGTGCCTATTGAAGTCCCATTTCTATTCACCTGTTACTAAATATAACAAAGAGATGACACTGTCCTCTGTGACCTTCTATTCTTCACTGCTTGCCCCCCGGCCAAGTGCTTTTTTACAGATTATGCTTCAGTGAGTAAAGCTGAGAGCCACTGTCATCCAAATTCCTATTGGATTTCGTACATTATGGTACATTATTTTCCCGTGTCATGAATTGTCCTTTATCTGTGCCTCAGAAAGGTTCTTAAAAAGTGTTGTAACAATAGGTCATGTTTGCACTGACAGTAAGACACGTTCTCTCTTACAGACCTTTTGGAAACCGTTATGTCAGACAGCCAAGGTGATTTATCTGTGCTAGCCCAGACAGAGTAACTATGGCAACTGAATCTGAGGAGCAAGTGTCAGCAGGGATGAAAAAGATTTCTAATTTCTGTTTTTAACTCAAACATAGCCCAGTATAATATATCACCTGACAGCTTTTGACATGAACGATTCCAGTTAGTGTCTTTGCCGTCCATTTATTTTTTTGGTGAAGTAGCCCTCTGTGTATGACCTAAAAATATCATCCAGAGTACTAATGACACCTTGAGTTTAAATAAATCATGACTAGTAATATGTCTCGAACTATATTTAGGACACTCATGGCATTAAAATTGCCCAGACATTATTGCATAATTAAACATTTAACTCTTATGTCCTTTTTCCCTCCCTACCCAGTGGGACGTACTTTAGAATATTTTATAAAATGTCCATTCTTGCAGTTTTGCTGTAAAAGATACCATGAGATCCTTTTTGCTATCTGATCTAAGGCTCACACTAAATCTGTTTGGGTCTCATAAATTACCCTTGGTTGTTGTATTCTAATCATTAAACCATAACATATATAACATATACCAGAATTGAATATACTGCAGATGAATGTAACCCTACACATACTGTGAGCCTGTAAAGCTGTCTGTCTGACCGGGGCTTACAGTTATTGGGAGTTACTGTAGTTAAATCTTGGCCAGTGGTACATCTTGAATGATGCTGGGAAGTTGCTGTGCCCCATTTGAAATTGGAGCCACATTAATTGGAAAAAAGATTACTGCTGAGGCTGACAGAAGCTGATAGCACAGCCTACTTATCCATCTAAAACCAGGGTCAACTTACAAGTGGACAGTTTATTTAAATGAAAGCACTTTCTTATTGCTTCAATCGCACAGATATTGGTTGCTTATCTAACAGAATTGTCGCCTCTTTCCCCCCTCAGGTCTGACTTTTGACGCGTTCCACCAATTCAGGCATGAAGTAAATCCCACATGATTGGTTCAAAGAGTTGGAGCGGTCTTGTTTCAGCGCGGCACTGTTAAGGACCCTGTGGTGGCTGCATCGCTGAATCACAGGACATGTACGGCAGTGCCAGAGCTGTAGGCCATGTAGAGAGCAGCCCTGTACGGTCCCCGCGCCTGCCAAGGTCCCCAAGATTGGGCCACCGGAGGGCAAATAGCGGGAGTGGGGGTGGTGGCGGGGGCAAGACGCTCTCCATGGAGAACATCCAATCCCTCAACGCTGCCTATGCCACTTCAGGGCCCATGTACCTGAGCGACCACGAGGCCGTGGGCTCCACTGCCACCTACCCAAAAGGCACTATGACTCTGGGGCGTGCCGCCAGCCGAGCCATGTACGGGGGCCGGGTCACCGCTATGGGCAGCAGCCCCAATATTGCATCGGTGGGATTGCCTCATGCTGACCTCCTGTCTTACAGTGACCTGGGCTCTCTCTCCATGCTGCACCCCCACCACCACCAGGGGGTGCCCTCTGCCCTGCTCAGGCAGGCGGTGCGGGGCAGTGGGGGGGAGCTGCTGGAGATGCAGGCCCAGCTCAGGGAGATGCAGAGAGAGAATGAGCTGCTGCGACGGGAGCTCGATCTGAAGGATAGTAAGTTGGGATCGTCCACCAACAGCATCAAGAGTTTCTGGAGTCCAGAGCTGAAGAAGGAGAGGATCATGAGGAAAGAAGAAGCAGCCCGCTCGTCAATCCTGAAAGAGCAGATGAGAGTCACCCATGAGGAGAACCAGGTGAGACCACTCCTCGGAGCTACCCTCGTCCACTCACCACGGCAGTGAATTTGAGTTGATTTGTTATCTTTTTTTTTATTGATGCTGCCATTTTTAAAAATATCTGTTTTCACTGTTTTTTTTGTTTAGCTTTGTGATGCTTGTCTCTACAATAGACCTCAATAATTCTCAGTCCAAAAATCCAGTGAATTATTGCAGTCAGTTGTGCTTCTCAAAATGTGTGGAAACCTTTCTGGAAAGAGATCTTTTTTATATTTTTAACATATACATTTTAAACTCACACTGTCCTTCCCTTGCGCTCCAGTACAGAATGAATAACCATTTAAGCCTCGCATAAGACAAAAAGCTCTTTAATCAAGTTTGCCCCAGTGTTGATATCTGAATTTTCAGGTGTTTGTATTTGAGTTGAAAGCATTATGACTCTGCCAGCAGGTAAATCGAACTCATCACAGTATGGCTGCAGCGTCACTTAAATTCAGTTTATTTTCACAAGTTCAGCAGATTGGCCCCCGAGGGAGAGATGTCAAAAGGTTTTTTTGCTTACCTCACTGTGGGGGTGTTGTCATGGCCCAGTTAAATCACCTACTGACAAGAGTAGGCACCCGGCCCAGAGACAAATGTCAAGGACACTTAAACACTCCCCGTCTGTTTCACTTTGTTTACCTCCCTTTCCCGTCTTCGGCTTATATACCATGACTTTGATTATCTCTCACAGCTTACTTCTGTGTCATTCAGACCAGCATAAGGGGAGTACCCTCTACTTGAAGTCAACTGACTTGTCCCATGCGCAAACATGAATGAAAACAGATACGACCGAATATAAAAAATGATTCAGTCATTTGCTCATTTTCACATCATCATGATTAGCCGATTGATCGCACAGGCAGTGGTTAAAGCCTTTGGCTTAAATGGATACGTCAGAGCATGACACTCCGAGGTAGATCGGAGGCGAGGTCAGTGTATTGCCTTAGTGGACAGATTCAGCTTTTTTGTCTCTTTGAGAAAGGCCAGGTCATGATGCAGCAAACTGAAAGAGCTGGGAGAAAGAAAAAGGCGTAATTTGGCTTGTTGCTCAGTCTCTGTGCCAGTCTGTCTGGGTTTCCGTCGGGCTGCTTGAGTGATTTTATCAGACTAGGAACAGCCAGTGGACCACTCGTTACTCAAATAAGCAGATGGTGTCACTCTGCCCTTCAAGTCCAAAGCAAACTGCTTTTAGTGGGGTCGCCACAAGAGACCCCTGTGTTGGCACATCTACTTGTGGATAGGAACATCCCTTTTAGAAATAGTCCTTGTCTTAGCCTAATTTATTGGGGTTAAAAGAGGCTGCAAGAGACAGGGAGGATGGCTTAATGCTTAATACATGCCCAAAGGTGCTCTTCTGATAATGTGTCTCTACAAGGGAAGTGTTTGGCTTGTCTATCCTCAGACTAAACCATCATGACCAAAACAACTCAGCGTTTTCCTCATTTTTTAAACTTGTGATTTCTTATGGATATTTTTAGCTTGGCTTCATATATTGTAGGAACAGAATGTGTCCAGCAGAACGTGAATGCTGTCCTCTGGTCTCTCATGCCTTTGTACTGGATTTAAAGAGATGAGTCTGTTCTTATTTTGGGCCTTATCCAGTGTTTGCTCAGCCTCTACACTGAGACATATTTTTATCCCTCCTGGTTGGGTTCATTAATGAAGTATGTCAGCTAATAAAAGGCAGATGTGCCTTGTTACCATAATTAGTCTTTTCTGACTTGATTTCTAGGCTGTGAAACGTCCTTGCATAAGTGTACACTTATGAAGGGATGGTCACACCCACAGTGCTTGTTAAGAGGCTAACTGAGGAGGAAATTGCCTCATTGATAATGGATTCATTTAAAGTATGCATGTTTGAGCAGCCTTCACAACTGCATTATGTCTCTTATAGTGTGAACAAATGGCACGCTTTGTTTATCTTGAAAAAAATAGAGATTGGAGGTTTTGAGGTTTATTTAAAAAAATAAAAACTATTTAGGCATAAATTTGTATTCCATGTTTTTTTTTCTAATGGAACACAGGCTTGGGGAAATACCAACCCGTGCCTGCAGATCTCAATTAAGGACAGTTGATGGTCATGACTATACATAATAATTAGCCCTGAAGTAGTTTGTGTGGTGTTGTTTATTTTTTGATATACCATCCAACTGGCACAGGCTGTTATTGTTTTACTTGAATTTTTGCTTAATTTGAACAACGGCTGCTGGAGGCGCATGTGGTGTGAGCTAGAGCATACCACGTCTGACTGAGTCATGACTGCTGCTGCTCAGCCGCCCAGTCACTCCTCATCATTGTATTCCACAAAAATGGAGGCTGAGCTTTACATATCACGCTGCTGTCTGTACATGGATACAGAAACCCCCCCAAAGACATGATGAGTCTACCTAAAAAAAATTCCGGGGTATGTACATTTGGAGATGGCAGAGAACAAGCATTCGTGCACCATTCAGTCTGTGGTGTGAACAGCTTAAATGTGGATATTTGAGGTTATTTCTTTTGTCATTGTGCCAGCATCTTAAGAGCACTGACAGCTTTTATCATCCATACCAGTGCATTATGTAGATGAGAGGGGAAGTCAGTTATTTGTTTGAACACCACATTCCTGCAGCATGTTGACTTGCTATTGAGCTCTCTTCAGTCAGCAGTAAAGGTGCTGCTGCAGTAACTCCAAACGTTCTAAAGTATCTGTTTTTTAAATTTTGGTTGAGATTATGAAACAGGGTGCATTTTATGAATAGTCACTTCATTCAGTGTTCCCATTGCTCCTCTTTGTAGTGTATAAGATGGCTGCTGCTCTGTGCTATCAAACAGGGTGCTGCTAAAATGACGGGTTCCAGACCAGATGAAAAGGATATACAGAGTGCTAGGATGATGAAATTAAGATTAGAATGGGAAATGATTGTACAAAAGAAATGGGATAAAAATGGAATGCTCTCAGCTGTTTTTTCCGATTTTTCTCTCCAGAATAGTCCAAACTAGTTAAAATCAAAGGTTTGTTATATACAGTACAGTACAGAACAAAGCAATCCCTCATTCCTACATATTCTAACAACAAAAAAACAGGAAATAGATGTAGTGACTTATTAAATTAGAATACAGGATTTAAAGCAAAAAATGCGCTCATATTTGACATGATCACATTTATTCTACAACACACTTTGAACCTCTCAGAAAAGCTTCCATCCATATGCAATTTTCATGAATAGTTCTCCAGGCTTCTTCAAGGAAACTCCAGAGCTCCTCTTTGGATGCTGGCTGCCTTTTGTTTTATTTCCTGTCCAGATAATCCTACAATGAACTTGAAGGGCCATGCTCTAGGGGGGAGGCTTAATTTCCTCAGACCTGTTGCTGCTCATTGACAGTGCATTTCTTGTGTTAGTAACTTATTGTACTTCATCCTTTTCTCCCTGTTTTTATAAGACTGGCAGCCACCCTTTTACAAATACTGTTTTTGATGATGCCCAAGTGAATGGATCAATTGAAGGTTCAGAGGCTTCTCTCAAGTCCAGTGTCATTGTTATACAGAATTTTCCTCATTTTTAGGGACATCCTATGAAGTTGGAATTCTTTTTTTGGCTTCCACTACTTGTTTTGAGTGGACAGGAAGTTAGCTAGAAAGTCGGCCGATGTCCAAAGAAAGCATGGAGAGCTGTTACTCAAGACCTCTTAGGTAGATTACAATAATGGCTGAATGTGCTGTTTAGCTAAATGAAAGAAATGAGTGTTGGCTTAATAAATTTGTAAATCACTGCTTATAGTCAGAAAGTAAAGCCAGCATATATTGTGAGATGCTGATGGTGTATTTCTCTCTGTACTGAGCTGAATATAATCCCTTTTATCTAAAGGGATTCATGATACTGAATTTGTATATATCTAAAATTTTAATATGTTAAAACTTATTTGAGAAACTGTCAATATTTATATACTTATAGTTGATATAGTAAAGTTTATACTATATAGTTTGATATAGTTTTTTCTACCAGAAGTGCGTTATTTTTCAGTGGAACCATCACATCATGTTTTCTCTGACGCTGTAGACCCACAAGATGCATCTTTAACATATCTTTAACAAAACTGTAGACTTCAACTTTCTTTATCAGCTTAGATAACAGTTTGGATTGTCCTCCAGAGGCAGTCCTGAAAATGTGACCTTATCTAACTGTCAAAGTTCACTCTGGGCCATTGACTTTAAAGTCAACAGAGAGGGCATGCTAATACTGTTGTGTGTCCCTAATTGTCTGTTTGTTTCATTGCTTTTTATTGCTTGGAGCATCTATTGTGTCTGCCTGATTAAACTCTGATAAGAAAGGTGTTTCTTTCTTTCAACATTCTTTGAATCAACAGCTGCTTGATAATTATATGACAGTATAAAAAATCTTTAATTGGTTGCTCTGCTGCAGTTGATACAGAGTTTTGTTATCACTCAAAAGTGCTATTGATTGTATGTGTTGGTTGGCTGACTGTGGTTATAATACCAAATCCCTTTAAGATTGTTATGTTATATCATATATAGGGCTTTTAAAGTATAATTTTCTGCTCATGAGTGGAGGCTTTGACCAGCGATGAGAAATTCAAGTCTTTCAGAGAAATGTCTCCACAATTGATTGATTTCCATTATCATCTGCATAGTACCAACTGTAGCGTGTGACCAGATCATCCATAAAACAAATCGCATTTCTTCAGCTCAGCTGAAGTTTGCAAACACAAGCATCCTAAAAACAAAGCTGATGATTTGACATGGTGATATCAGTATTCAGCGTAGCTTTGCCTACATTCGGACAATTCTGAGCCGCAGGCATGTGTTTCTATATTTACCAGTGCAATAGAGAGATTACAATCAGTGGGTTCACACAGGCATATCTCAAGGGGTTGGTGATAAATTAATGTTTATGCAGAGAAAGATTTGGAATGATACCTTAAGTTAAACAGATCAGTAGCTATTTCCTGATTGGTTCAAAAAAGGACACTGTATGAAGTGTATATAAAAAAAAACTCAAGGATTTACCAATCCTGTAATGTCACTATTGGAAGAAAAATATTAACCTTTTCTTGAGTTATGAATTTGATGTCTGCAAAATATCTCCAAAAAGAGGGGAAGGAAACATGCTTCGGACAGCTTGAGTTTACGTATTGATTTGACTGCTGTTAAATTCAAGATGAGCAAGCATTTTTTACAAAGTGAAACATCTCATTTGCAGCATTTGATGTGCTCTTTGTGCTCTGTTGTTGATTAAATACCCACAAAATATTATATTCTGTTTTTAATTCTTTGTTTAGACCATCTCACATTTTGCCAGCAAGTTGGCAAAAACATTTTTTCCAAGTACTTTCTTTTCTATAAGAGCAATAAACACTCTGGCCTGTTTTTTTTGTTTCTTTGGTCATTTGTGTCTTCATTGGGTTACAGCTTCTTCTTTTACCTCTAAGTAAAAAAAAGTAGAAATGTAAAATAAATGTACCAGAGCACTCCGCATAGTATTTGTTAATACCTATGTTCTTACCTCTATGCTAGCTGAGAGGAAATGACTAAATGCAGTGTTTGTTGGGATGGGTGTGGGTGTAATTGGGTATCGTCAACTATCACGACACACTACAGAGATTAGAAATGCAGAGAGCGGTAGGCTGCTGCAATTCAGCGCTTTGGTGCTGTCCATCTGCTAGATGCATACACCCACGTTCTCTTACCCAAACATACATGGGGTGCATATGGTTTAGCAGCTTGTTTTTGTACCACCTGTAGATGAAGTCTATGAATTCATAGACCATTTTTACTCTTTAAAAAATACGATAATCAGGTAAATACAAAGTAGGCGGGTGGTTTATATAAGGTATAAGGTATATATATGAAAATATATAGAGAGGAAACAAATGAAGAAAGAAAGTTCAAAGTCATCTGAAAAAAGAAAGGCTATATATATATATATATATATTAGATTGCAACAGACCTTTTTCAAATATCTGTAGAGGTGGATGTCTGTTGTAGCTCTCTGAAAGATTCTTTATTTCTGCACCACAAGATTTATGACGGCCAATACCCCTGACCGGTCAAAATATCAGATAAGGAAGCTAAGGTAAAGTGTAGCACAGAATCTCTAAATCATTTCTTTTTGGGATATGCTACAAAGTAATGAGAAACCTTCTTTAAGACGGGGTGACCACAACAGCAACATTTGCTGAGTCAAGAACTACTCATTGAAAGTGTTATACCTCTGTAGTGTGTGATCATGAGATATGGGAGGAATGGCCATATAGTCACTTTAAGCCAAAGTGTAATCATGCAAATGGAATTACTGGACCGTCTCCTGGAGTTTAGTTCAGATTGTTTATCAGGGAATAATTAAACTATTATTTGATTCTTTTGAAAATGTGTGAAGATTTTCTTACGTTACGATTAGGGTAAATGTTTGATTTCTTTTTGATTGTTGGTTGTATTACTTTGTGACGTGGGGGGAGGAGCTCACGCTGAGTGTCAGTAGTTGACTCACAGCAGGAAAATGTAACATTCAGAAGCTGCATGATTTCTGTTGTCGCACTAAATGGCTGTGACTCAGAAAAGGGTGTGCCACCAAAACTGTTATGACAGAAGCCAGCAGGAGATTCATCAGCATCAACTACTAAAATAAACACTGCCCCCTAGTGGCTGGAAGAGCACACAACCTATTGTACTACTTCATACCATGTCAGGTCAGCCTTAGGATGTTCTTTCATTTCCTCAGTAATTATATATGACAGTGATCAAAGTCACAGTAATTAGTCTCGCTTAAAAAGTCTGCAACAGTTCAAAAGCAACTGTAATCATCAAGAGGACTTTACTGAAACATTTTTTCAAAGAGTGATCTAAAATAAAATAAAAAACTGATTAGTTTTGCCATCATAAAAAGTCAACAGCAAATATTTGGACTTTGATAGACTGGAATGAGATAGTGTCTTTCAAAGTTTAATTTCCTGCTTATCTACTAATTACAGGTCCTGAATTACCTTTAAAGATCCTCATGAATACATGTGTAACAACACTAAAATAATGCATCATCTCATCTGTTCTGACACTTGACAACAAACATGTGGTCATTTACTTTTACTCATTCTAATTCTACTTTATGTTTACATACAATTACCCTAAAGCAAGTAATCTGAGATCAATGAATGTTATGTTGTTTATCTGAATAATTGGATACCCATTACACTTTTTCTCATCTCTTTCCAGAAAGGTCATTTTTTGTTTGTACATGTTAAGATTTTTTTATAGCAGACATATCACCTTTGCATAGAATCTGATGAGTGGTTCAGTAAAATGTAATTTTGAAAATTTTCTGCTAAAACAGGCCAAAATGTCTGCTGTGAAAAAGGTTTATCATGCATATGCTGTTCTGACTGAAGTCTGCTGACCGATAAACCGGCAGCTTTCACTGAAAGTCTGGCTGGTCTGTGTTGATCATCCATCTCTGTTGCATCAAGCTCTGACGCTCTGTTTTCAACATACATTTGTTTTTCTGTTCATTCTGCCCATGCTCTACAGCTGCTGGATGCCAGGAGAACCAAGGTTTGTCCCTATGTTTGCACCCCGTGTTGCGTGCACAACATAGAGTCACCTTCAGTGTGCCGTGTATTCTCAGACACTTGGCAGTCCTTTTGCACCGTTTAACTTCTTCTTCTATTAGTCCTTTGACCTTCCAAACAGAGTGAAATATTTTCCTCCCCTCGGTCTGCCTCCTTATCCCTTGACCCCGTCATATGTTTCCCCACAGAGACTATGAAAGTAAAAAGTGATTGGTCTGTTTTATTGTCAGTCTCAGTGTGTGTAGTGCTCCACCCCTCTGTAGTAGCACATACTCTGCACCACAGCCTGCAAACTTGTTTTTATTTCAGAGAAGAAAGCTGTATTGATTTATCAAGAACGTAATTGGGCCATTTTGTGCACATGGATTGTTCTGTTTTTTCCCCCTCAGCCGGAAGATGTTTCCACTGGTAAAGGCCAAAGTCAATCTGTGACAGAAACTTGGGCCAAATGAATCCCCTAATCGTATAAAAAAAACCTTACAGACAAAGAAATACACATGGGTGACAAATTAAAGGAAGAAACAAAAAAAGGATCCTGAGCATTACATGTTGGGTTGCTATTGTCAATATATTGTAAGGATGGAACACCTCTCATCGAAAAACTTTCTTCCATTTAATGTTTTTATGAGGTAGGGAAATTTGCTGTGTAACTCATCCATGTATAATTTTGCACATCATTCTCATAATTTTTAAAGAAAACAAAACCCTTTGTAGCCTATGTAAGTTATCTGTGCTACTTAGCAAACTCTTCTGATCATATTTCTTCTCCAAATTAGTGTGGAACAGTGGTTGTTTGCATTTTGCCCTGGGCTCTTAAGTATCTGCATTCAAATTTGTAAGGAGATTCATGCACCGCAACCGATGTGAATTTTGATCGAATGACTTGGATGAGAATTTGGTCACTTAATCAGTTTACGGTCTCAGTTACTTGAGGAAAAGTATGCACCCCTCTGCTCCTTCTCCTGTATCACGCTAATGCACGAGCATCACAACCAGTTTTTAATGCTCCACGGACATGTTTCCCACAGATTGAAATCACAGATGATTTGCTATTCCTATTGACACACCAGCCAGCTAACTAGGTGCACAGATCTCACCATTGACCAGCAATTTTATATCTCTCCATTTTGGAAATGCCATCAGGGCATAATTGAATATTTACAGCTTAATTGCACCACGTAGTGTGGAAGCATCTGCACCCATCTTGTTTAATGAACCCATTAAATCAATTCTTTAACCTTGTAACCCATCTGTATTTATTGCTTTGTGTGCGGTATAATTTTATTTCATGTGTACGCACAGACAGTATTCACATGTTCACTCAAGATGGCTGCTCTAAAGTGAATGAATACTGCGGCTTCTTATTATTCATTGTATTGTCTGACCACATCTGATTATGGCATCTCCAGATGACCAGCTCATACAAAGCAATGTAGTCTTTCTACGCTCCTCTCAGATAGACAGCAGAAGCCTCCTCCTCATATCACAATGTGGCCTGTGAGGTCTGAAACACTCTTTGTATCAAAGGTCTCTAAGGACATCGGACCTCACAATCTATGCTGTGCTGTCGGACAGCACAGAAATGCTTTTTATTATTTTATTCAAGCACTTCCTAATCTTAATTCAAAAGCAGACCATTATGTGTTGTAAAAGAGGATATTTTTCAGCACATTTAACACATGGATTGGATTATCTTGATGTTGTTCAACAAATCATCTACCATGTGATTATGCAACTAGAAAAGTTCACATTTTAGTTGTTTCTGAAGCTATGTGAAGGTAAGTAATGTTTCCCTCATGTTTGTACTGCTTTTTTTGTCTACAGAAACGTGTAAGATGACTAAAAACGTGTGTTTCTATGTGTGAAGCCCAGCGTGTCACTTTACAATGACAAATTATGCTTGACCTGTTTTCCTCAAATTAACTTCAGTAATTGTTGAGTCCGTCTGTATGTATGCGTCTATGTGTTTGTGTGTGTGTGCATCAGCATCTCCAGATGACCATCCAGGCTCTGCAGGATGAGCTCCGCACACAGAGAGACCTCAACCACCTGCTGCAGCAGGAGAGCGGCAACCGCTCCGCTTCCGAGCATTTCACCACCATCGAGCTGACGGAGGAGAACTTCCGCCGGCTGCAGGCTGAACATGACAGGCAGGCCAAGGAGCTATTCTTGCTGAGGAAGACCCTGGAGGAGATGGAGCTCAGGATAGAGACACAGAAACAAACACTGGGAGCCAGAGATGAGTCCATCAAGAAGCTACTGGAGATGCTGCAGAGCAAAGGGCTGCCCCCCGGTCCAGGAAGAGCCTCTGAGGAGGAAGAGCAGGAGAGAGCCAGGCGCATTGCTGAAGCAGAGGCCCAGCTTGGACACCTAGAAGTTATTTTAGATCAGAAGGAGAAGGAGAACATCCACCTGCGAGAGGTAAGATATTGCAAGGACTTTGCTAAAGATGAGGGATGTTTTCTAATTCCGTGGTCACTGGGTGGCAGTGCTGAGTAACACAGGACCAGTGGACTCTTCTGTGCTGCCTTCCTCACAGGGTTTATGTAACATACAAACTGACAACAGCAGAGCACATTTGTTGCATGAATATTTTGCTCTTCAGGACAAAACTTTTCCAAGCGTTGTTGCAATGTGAATTATTTGCTTTGCATTGATGTTCGAATATTGTTTGCATGTGTCTTTAAGGAACTGCACAGACGAAATCAGCTGCATCAGGATCCAAGCAAAACCAAGGCCCTGCAGACAATTATAGAGATGAAAGTAAGTACACGACTTATATCACAGCCGGAGCATAAATGCACGTGGAAGCGTCACAGAATGGAACATCCTGAAATAATGGATTATCAGTGCCTTTTGTCTAAGAGCAGATGCTGTGTTCGTGTTTGCTTATGTGACTGACACTCACGGGCCTTTGTTATTATATCCGCTCAGGCTTTTTGCTGATTGCAGTGTTGTTGTTGTGATATTCGGAAGCTAATTTGTTGGTTGACACACTGTCAAATCTTGTCATGTCTGTTTCTCACACATAGACTTACACTGAATACACCCACAAAAGATGGGTGTAAACATAAACAAGAAGCCAGACTTAACCAAAGGCCTTCATTGATAAGTAATAACACATTTATCTCAGAAAGGATCATTTCGACACATATTTATCAGCAAACATCGCAGACTTTATCCATCCATCCATTATCAATACCGCTTATTCCCTCATGGGGTCGCGGGGGGAACTGGAGCCTATCCCAGTGATTTTAGACAGTATTGGTTTCAGGTATGGAGCTGCACTTAAAATCTTTCAAGGTTTGGGGTCACACCCATTATGCTAACCTAAAATATGGCAGTGATGCACTAGAACGTGTAGAGGGGTTTCATTAAGCTTTAAAGCTTCAAGAAGGCTTGAATATTTGGACAAATGCACACTTCACTTTCAAATGAGCTAAGAAAATGACCTTTCAGTGCATTTTTAGACCCCACCCAACACAACCATGATTGGTTTCCATGCGCAGAAAAATCTATTTCTAATGTACTAATGTTTGATTTGTACGCGCAGATGAAGCTTCTTTATGCAAACATACATATTTCATTTCATAATGGTTAAAATGATTCCGCACACCAGCACTTATTGTACAACAGCTGGATGTGATAGCAGAGAATTTCGGGACCATCCAGCTACTTAGCCACAGTAGACACCACCAGCCTCACTGCAGAGGCCTGACATCACTTCCTCAAAATAAATCATGACATCATTGCTGAGCTGACACAGCCCCTCTCGCTCGGGTGGATCGGCGAGGTGCAAGCCCCAGCCTCCCCCAGTCTGGTCATGTGACATCAGGGCTCTTAGACCCTGTTGATTTTCATACCGAACGAGGGAAGTCCCGCCTTCTCCTCCTCCTGTGCTTGGGAGGAAGACCCTGCATTTCTCCTCTCTCCCACTGCTGTGGTGATGCTGATGGAAGCACGAATAATCCACCCTCCCTCTCCCCGCTCAGCAGCCCTCCCGCCCTCTCCTCCTCACTCACCAGAGACAGAGCACAGTATATAGCCTTCCTGCTGCTGCCATGGAAACAGGTGTGGTTGTTTATGACAGCGAGAGCCCAGTATGCAGGGAGACAGAGATACAGAGAGCCATACATATACAGGGAAAGATAAGGAGCAAGATTAACTGACCAGGTGGATGCACCAGTGATTACATGTGGATGGAATAAATCAGCCTGCTTTGAAGGTATGCCGTCTCCTGTCTCTTGCAGCAATGTCAGTTCATTGATGCTCCCGTTGTAACACGGAGACTGAGGTGAGATGCAGCAGCAGGGCGAAGTGCATGCACATGTGCAGTTCTCGTGCATTGACGTTAACCTCTCCGATCCTTCATTCGTCATTACAATACATCACCCGTCTTCTTCTGCAGTGGGCTGCTACTGACCCTGCTAACGCCCAGAAGTTCAGAAGTTCAAAGCCACTAAAAGGGAGAGCAGGCGGGCCATCAAAAGAAAGAAAGACTGGAAGGAACAAGGTTGCTCTAGTCTGTGCTAGAGAGGGAGATGAACCATGGCTAATCTTAAAGACGTAGTATTATTTATTTAAAAAGCCGTGAAGCTAAAGCTGCACTCACAGTCGCAGTCCTGAGATTGGATTCTGCATTTTTCTGCCAGCAACTACGGCAAAAGATTCAGCGTGTTACTTTTCCTTCGTGTTCGTCTGCACTTTTTTCTGCGGTCCTGGAGGATCTGTCCAAGCTGGATGTGCGCTCAACATTTCCCAATGGTGATTAATCCTTTGAGCTGCTGCAAGGAGCTGGGTAGAGGGCTTTTGATTTCACCGACAGATACTGCAGTTACTCTGAGCCAAACCAAAGAGCTTCTTCTATTCACTCTCTCTCAGTGTATCCTCTGCCCCCCCTCCCTCCTTTCTGTCTGTCTCTCCTAATCCATTTTGTTTTGTTCAGTTTTTACGTTGTTCTTTGGCTTGAGTCCATAGCTCGGGTTTATTTGCAACGCGCAACTTTTGAACATGTCTTTGTTGTTTTTGAGGTGTGTCTCCTCTACTTGTTTGTGTACAGGACACAAAAATCGCCTCTCTAGAGCGCAACATTCGAGATCTGGAGGATGAGATCCAGATGCTGAAAGCAAACGGCTTACTAAACACAGAAGACAGAGAGGAGGAAATCAAACAGATGGAGGTCTACAAGAACCATTCCAAGTTTATGAAGACCAAGGTAGAGACCAAATGTATTGTGCGTGTGGTTAAAGTGAAAGTACAACTTAAAAGGAGAAAGCAAAAAAAGAGGTTTTGGTTGAGCAGATGTGCGTACAGGATCTTCTCAGGTAAGATGCAGCTGCAGGATGTCTTCAGAGAGAAGATCACCAACTCTATTTATTAAAAAGTTCAGAGTCAGTTACCAGAAGTCTCCTAAGACAGAACAAACTTTTGTTCTGTTGTTGCATGCATAAAAACTCATACTTCATTCCTCTGCCACTAATTCTAATTACTATGTGAAATGTCAAGAGAGTGTTTATAAGGTTGAGAAATAAATGAACTGATGTTCAATGGAACTGATGTGCTCTAGTTGTCAGTGATGTGAGCTTGTGCACACATCTGGCTCCACTGTGATAATGTCAAGGTGCATATGTCTGTGTGTCTCTTCTGAGTTTTAACTCCTTGTTTACAAAGTCTCCAAACTCATAGACCGGGCTCCGAGCAGCCAGAGTTTTGTTACTCTATTTTTGGAGCTACTTTCATCAATCATGAATAGCGATGATGTATAATATATGATGAATGCAGGAGAGTCAGTCCCAAATACATTTTTAATGAGAGAAAAGCGTGTTGATGAAAATAGTGCAAAAGCTGCAACAATGAACTCGCCATTTAATCAGAGTAGCCTTCTTACATCAGCTTATGTCATGATAGCAAAAACATCAAATTGCGGTTGTTAGGTTGTGTTAAAAGGTGTGTTTTGTGTGTTGTGCAGATTGACCAACTGAAGCAGGAGTTGTCAAAGAAAGAGTCAGAGCTGCTAGCTCTGCAAACAAAGCTAGAGACTCTCAACAACCAGAACTCAGACTGCAAACAGCATATCGAGGTGCTCAAAGAGTCTCTCACTGCCAAGGAGCAACGTGCTGCCATCCTGCAAACAGAGGTAATAGAAATCCCTCCGCTGGTTTGTCAACTTAATAAAACACAGCCTCATAAACATATCACCCACACATGGACAAACCGACTATAACATACCTTCTCAGAAGCTGAGGCTTGTTACTGCATATTGCATGCAGCCCTGTTGGGAATCTGAAATGTGCTGTAACTCAGGTCATCACCTAAGAAATGCCAACAATCTAAATAATTGTGACACTATTAAAGCAACATCACACTAAATCACACTAAATCACACAGAATCCATCACATTAAACATGCCCACATAAGTAGATCCTCCCATTTTACTATAAAAGACTTCACTATGAGAACTTCTGTGTGGTTTTCAGGTGGATGCTTTGCGTCTGCGTCTGGAGGAGAAAGAGTCCTTCCTGAACAAGAAAACCAAGCAACTGCAGGACCTGACAGAGGAAAAGGGGACTCTTGCTGGAGAAATCAGGGACATGAAGGACATGCTTGAGGTCAAGGAGAGGAAGATTAATGTCCTGCAGAAGAAGGTGAGAGTAAAAGAAACCCTAAGACTGAGGAAAATTTTAGATTTAACATTCAAACATGCTGTCACATTATCTGTTGACTACACTGAGTTGTGGAGTGGATGCATGTTGTGTAATTGTACACCAGTTCTCATCAGAATTCTTAAACAAACAGTAATTCAGTGGGTGAGTGAGGAAGAGTGAGGAAGATACAATTGCTTAGCCCCTCCAACAAAAGTGAGAGTGTGTCTTTTACTCAGGGGGGAAATGTCCATAGAAAGACCAGCAGGAAGAGATTTCTGCCTCACTGGCTCTAATGTGTGTGAGTGAGTGTGAGTGTATGCTATAAATACTCACAGTGTTACTCCCTCTTTCACTCTGTCTCACTCACTCGTTTGTACTGTCACTATCAGTGGTGTGTAAATCTTTGCTCATCTCCTAATGTGGATATTTCAGGTTGCTTCTCTTTATTAGGTTGTTTACAAAAAGTTTTGATATACTGGCTCATATGCAGAAAACCAAACATAATAATCTTGATCTTGAAAAAAAATAAAACATATCACATAATGAAACAGTGTAGACTCTGTAAAGGTTCCCAGTTAGTCATAGGGCTTAGACAGAAAGAACTCACCTATGAATTCCCACCTCATACCTACAGCCATTTAGAATTAATGATGACTTTGAAGTGAGAAACAAGAGTAGCTTGAGAAAGCACACAAAGGTGCATGATACATTTTTGCATCATAAATGGAGATTATGAAGCAGCCAATGCTGCCATCCGGGTGATATTTGAGCCCTCGTCTACTTCAGCGGGAGCATCCCAAACCATATTTTAAACTTCTGATGATGGCAATGTTCCATCGTAAATTAAGCAGGATGGAAAACTGGGCAGCCAGAGGCTACATGGCATGATCTTTTAAAACATTTCTATATCACAGAATTAGAAAAAAGACAGAAGATTCTCAGTCTGTCATTCTCGTGTATGAAGCGAGGAAACCAACACGTCTGATCATTTCAGTCACAGCAGGTGGTGCCTTCAGGTCCCACACGCAGGCCACACATTTTTCACATAAATTGAAATTTCTTGGTTTGAGAGTTCGGTGTGTTACCTTTGTAACCAGTACTGGCTTAATATTATCTGTAAATGCTGCACGCCGGCGTGGTGGTTACTACTGTCACCTCCCAACTCCCCCAGCCTGTCTGTGTGGAGTTGGCATGTTCACCTTGTGCATGTGTGGGCTCTCTCTGGGCACTCCGGCTTCCTAACACCGTCCAAACTGCGATAGCCTCCCCACAATTTCTACTTGGCATGAAGGTAGAGAACATTGCTGGGGAATTTGTAAATCAGTGCTTTGAGTCTAGTTTAGAATTTAGCCATAATTCCAACCAACTTTAATTGGGTCATAATGTCCAGTGAATCCTTTTTAGTGTACCATACAGTATGTAATATTTAGTTTCATTGCCCTCTCTCTTATTTGCTCCGACTCTATTCGTTTTTTTATGTTGTCACTAAACAACATGTTTTGTCCCAAAGGCCTATTACATATAATCTTCAAATACGTCTTTTCCAAGTAAACGTTAGATATTCAATCAGACTACAGCTTTTGCTTCCCCTCTCCCTGGCATTGAGTCAGATTGAGAACCTGCAGGAGCAGCTGCGGGACAAAGACAAGCAGCTGGGAAACCTCAAGGACAGGATCAAGTCTCTACAGACTGACTCCAGTAACACAGATACTGCCCTGGCCACCTTGGAGGAGGCGCTGTCAGAGAAGGTAAAGGAAAGGGCTGGAGTTTGTGTTGCACTGGATCAAAATGTCAGTATCCAGGCCGGTGAAATTAACAGTTATTGTCAGAAACTGCTGTGCTCTGGATATAAATTTAAAACACGCCACACAGGGGTGCTCCTTTTTTATTGTTTTCACCCAGTTGATGTGCTGAAATTACATACAGTGCATGTATCCACCAGTGTGATGGTTGGCATGGCGATTAACACTGTTGCATCACAGAAATTAGTTCCTATTTGAAATCTCACCAGGAACCTTTCTTTGTGAGGTCTGTAGGTTCTCCCCATATTTGCGTGGGCTTTCTGGGTACTCGAGCTTTCTCCCACTGTTCAAAAACTATAAAATGGATTGCTGTTTGCTGTTCAATACCCACTTCGCCTCTGTTATGTTTCATCTGTGGACTTTATATCCCCTCAAGGATACTGAACCACTTGTGGGAGTTTGCTCGACCAGTGTCCCATGGGTTTTGTGGCTAACCTCCACAACCCTTATTTAGTAGGTACTCTGGGAGTATAACATACCAGGTCCATTTTACAGATAGTCTTTCCTGGTATAACGATAGTGAGAGCTGGGTTCAGCAACATGGCAGTAAGTCAGATTGTTATGTTGAGCGAAATAAATTATACAATTATAAACAGCAGCTTCAATGTGTCAGTTGAAGAAGATCTTTTTCCCTTTCTAACCATATTTTAAGACTAAATCTCAATACAGATTTGATGACAGTTTAATTTACACGCACTGTTTACATCACAACATGAGGCAACGTGGGACAAAAATATTCTTTAAATATCACCAGTGCCTGCAGGAAGAAGCTAACTTTTTTTAGCAGCGAGGATTTGCTTTGATGTGTTTGCTGAGCTTCTCATGAAGTTCATAATATCATTCCAAATGAACAGAAATCTGAAATCTTATTTTTAGAACTTAATATAACTAGACACTGATTATTTAGTAAAGCAAAGATATTTAACAGTCTGCACTTGTATGTTTATGTGTGTAAACATCCATTAGGAGAGAATTATTGAGCGTTTAAAGGACCAAAGAGAGAGGGAAGACAGAGAACGCCTGGAAGAAGTGGATTCATATAAGAAGGAGAACAAAGATCTGAAGGAGAAGGTCAACAGCCTTCAGATAGAACTAACAGAGAAAGAGGTCAGTGACAGATGATCCATGAAAGGTTTTAGTTCTGCATGACTGAGTGATGAGTACACATCCTGCACCTCCACATTTCTCTGCCGTACTTTACTGTACTTTATGCAACTCAAACTCTCAGTCAACCTTTACATATCAAAGCGCTCACCTGTGGCACGGTGGCCGACTTACACCTGTTGACACTATTTCATGTTGTCTGATTTCAACATGAACTAACCGGCCATGCTGGTTCTCCACCTGTAGGCCAGTCTCATCGATCTCAAAGAGCATGCATCATCCCTGGCATCCTCTGGTCTGAAAAAGGATTCAAAGCTCAAGTCATTGGAAATTGCAATCGAGCAAAAGAAAGAGGAGTGCAGTAAGTTGGAGACACAACTGCAGAAGGTAAGTGTGCGTCTCTCATCAAAACCATATAACTTCTCAGTATATGAAACGGATAGACATCAGTGTTCAACCGAACCACCATCTTTGAACAAGGCAACATTTTGTAATGGGATACAGTGCTTAGGTTGGGGCAATATTTCTTTCTTTTGCAAGATATCACAAACAGATTGCAGTAGTGTCTAAAATAAATCATCAGCCCTTGGCTAAAGATATAAACACTAGTTAAAAACAGCGTCACATTTTCAGGGTTTCCCTGAAAAGTATTTTCTCATTTTTATGTCAGTCTTTAGGCTAGATGAGCGGAAAAGATCATTTTGAGGCTTGAAGAGTAAAAAGTGTTTTTTTAGTTGGCTTAAAGATGTCCACCATCGGAAAGAAAAATAAGTTATTTTGATGGGAAAAAAGCCTACACATTGACAGCTGTGGGTGTAGTTGGTAAGCTTCTTTGTTACACTTGCATATATTGAAGGTATCATGGATTTTTGGTTTCAGTAAATTCTTTTTAGGGCGTAAAAACACGCTGAAGCACGTGTTCCTTCAGGTTCAAGCTTCTCTTCCGTTTTATTAATCTGTTTTAAACCTCCCTATCTGTTGTACTAACATGCATGTTGCAGAATGAATAAGGGGCACTCTGTGCATTGCTAAGGAGGAGCGTTTATTTCTGAGAAAGGGTTATTCACAGTGAACCCTCATTTTTACAGTTAAATGAGGACATGACAATGGCCTGGAGTTGTATTAGCTGAGCTGGTGGTTAGCAGTTTGATCCTCCAGGTGTTCAGGCGTCTGTTTATGACATTGGAACTCACATTTTATCAGTTTCTGATGTGATATGTAGATTAGATTAGTTTTAGTAATATTATATGTGTGAGGTCCTTTGTAGGAACTAGACAAGATTAAAAGGGGGCCATAAGTGTGTAACATTTATCATTTTAAAACAAAAACATGTTGTGGTTTATAATTAATTACAGTGGTTAGGAAGATTCTGTAAACATGAGGTCATTTAGCAGCTGCTTAAAAGCTTTTGAAAAAAGTGTGACAAAGTGGTTAACGATTGGAAAAAAAAAAATCTAACTGGAAAAATGTATATATATAAATTAGATTTCTTCCCATTGTTTTTCAGAAGTTTTGGTGTTGGTTGAATTCTCTATTAAAACAAAAATACCTAATTGAATAGATTTTCCTCTTTAACTGTACCCAAATTTAATTTAAGAGCCCAAAGTGTGTTCTCTCTGGAGACCTTCAAAAGTTCATCATGACACCAGGAACCATGTGTTTTTGACATAGCTGTAGACAGAAAATAAGGGCTTTTGTGGTTTGCTGCAGATATTCCTGCTGTGGAGCTGTTCTGTATATAGATGAAGGGCAACTCTAAACGGAGCAAGCTGTTTCTCGATCATTAGATACAGTATGAATGTGAAAACTTGTTGTGATGATATCACTGTAATCTTCTTTGAACAAGGGACATGAAGGGGTTTTCTATAAGGCTTGGTTCATTAGGATAATGGTGTCCGCCGCGCTTTTTCTCCTGTGGCACGCTGATGTTCTTTGTTAGGATGCACAGAGTAGATAGTCCATTAAGGTCTGCCTCCTCCATTTTCTCAGTCTCCATAATCCACAGATTTTCCCGTTCATCTGTGTTGCAATGCTGTTAATCTTAACAACATATGCTGTTCTGAAACTGTTATTTGTCTGCTAAACATGTATTGTAACATGTCTGATCCTGCTGTTATCTCCTCTGGCTCAAAGTATGCCCTAACATTTACTCTTCCTGGACCCCCACCCGTCCTTTGTGCCTTCCTTAACTCCAATGCAATGTAGCAAGCTGAGCAGCTATTCAGTCACATGAACAACCCTGTAAGTTCTTCTCAACGACCCTGAGAGGCACACATTGAAAGCATGAGGACACTGAGAACTTCTTTGAAATACGCTAGATGGTGATCATGGCAAATCCCAGCACAGGCTTCGCTTTTCTTCCACCCACATGCATGTTGCCCATTGCACTGTACTGGTATAATGAGCTTTACACTGCGCTGAGCGTCGTGTGCAATGTACTCTCTCTGTAAATGTTGTGTGTGAAATGTGGTGAAACTAGTGCGACAGATTCAGTATCTAGGTCTGTTGTCAGCTGGAATCTGGTCTATTGCCTCATTATAAGAAACTTTCTGTTCAAACATTTTTAAAAAACATGATCATTTGATTATAATTTGGGATACCGCTTTAGTTGTATTCTTCCTTAACCTTAAGTTAGAATTTTTGGATGGCTTTCTTTTTTAGATCTGCAGACCTTAGATCTGCAGTTTGCATAACTACACATTAACAATGCTGGGTTTGGTTTGAGCTCAATAAAAAAAAAACATGTTTTATTGTACAAACATAAAGGCCAAGAGCCAATATCAATAGCCTATTTCACAGTCTTAGAAACAGTTATCCACATACACAGCAATAATTGTATGGTTCTTCCATCACGTATCGTCCCCCTCTTTCAAGTGTCACACTATGCCGACTCTTGTAAGTTTTTTACTCGACTGACTGACTGTAATAAAAACACAAGTGTCATACATAACAGCTTCTATATCTTAGATTATATTCAAAACATAATCCCACTGCTGGTATAGAGCACAATCCATGGGTCCAGTAAAGCTCCCTTTTATTCATTTTTATTTGTGATTTGTGGGTCTCACTATCATCTATTGTTGATTTCAAATCAAATTTGTTGCACATTCTTACAAATATAAACCATAACAGCTTACTCGGGTGCTATCGCTACTCTTTCCACATACTTCTGATCTGTAAATGCAAAGACTGTTCAGCTTTGTTAGATTTGCATGAGTTGTTCAACTTTGCTGCATGTCGTCCGTGTTGCAACGCTTCCAGTTTGTCAGTGTGGTGCGAGTAGCTGAGTTATCCGCTGTGGTTGAAGGTCCCTGCAGTACTTTAGTGGATGGCGCTGTATAAGGTGTCAAAACATGCGGTTTTGTTTAATCTATAAGCTGTCGTGCATTACTGTAATGTATTTTATGTGGAGTTACAGACTGTTTTGGTAATGATGGAAATTGTCTGTTATGACCAAAAAGTATAGCTATGATTTTAGCAAGCTAGTGAAAAATTAACATAATTATCCAAGAAAAAATTGCCTTATTCATGTTATTGCTTTTTTCAGTGCTGAAGAAGCACTTAAAAAACAAAAATGCATTCCCGCTGTCCAGCATTATTTGATACTGATCGAGTGTGTGAAACATCTGTGAGTCTCAGAGGGCCACTTAGATGAAGCTAAATAATAGCTCTATTAAAGCTAATGAGCCAGCTCCTGTAACGATGCCCTGGATCACAACAGCTAGTCTGCTTTGTTCGCTCAGAAAGACAAGGGGCGAGAGACAGGGAAAAGTGAAAAAAATTGCACCACTGGGCTGAGGCAAATTTTAACTGGGTGTGTCACTGGATGTGTGCGTGTTTGTCTGTCCTGACGTGTGGATGCAGAAAGCTCACGAGGTGGATCATCAGTCCGGACATCAGTCCAGAGGGAACCCAGAATATGTGGATCGAGTGAAGCTGCTGGAAAAGGAGGTGAGCTACTACAAAGACGAAGCAAGCAAGGCTCAGACAGAGGTGGAGAGACTTCTGGACATCCTTCGGGAGGTGGAGACTGAGAAAAATGACAAGGAAAAGAAGATTGCAGAGTTGGAAAGGTAACCAGTTCTGACAAAGTGTTTGATATTTACTACTAAAGTTGTATAGAAGTAGTGAATATATTTGTCAATTTTGACATTTTAACACATTGAAATTCAGCCTTAAAAATTTGAATACCTGCTTTAAAAACCTCTGTTTTTTACTTGAGCAAGATTTACTCATATTTTACCAGTAAGTACATCATATATAGCAAAAACTTTGTAGGCCAAAAATGCAACTTTTCATGAAAATATATATGGATACACATACATAATTATATACAGTATTTAAAAAGATGGTCATTTTAAAGCCCTGCGATGGAGTGGTGGTACCCCGCCTCTCGCCTATTGACCACTGGGATAGGCTCTAGTCCCCATTAGGGAGTAAGCGGTTACGATAATGGATGGTCATTTAAAGATAAATGAGTACCTCTTATCAAATTTTACATGTTACTTCTAAATATGAGAGATAGTTTCATGTGTCATTATATTAGTTAGCATAATGGTAACCATAAACAATTTAAAATAGAGGTACAAGACTGTAAATAGTAAAAGTGTTTTTGAATGTTGTTAAAGGTTGTGGAGGGTCTTGTAGATAATTGGAAGATCCAATAAAGTAACAACTTATGAAACAGAAGTTTATTTCATTCTTACGATTGTTTATCTGTGCTTTGATAAACAGAACCTGTTAGAAGCTCCACAATCTGAGTGAATGGAATCTGCTTAAATACCAATTTCCACTACATCAATACATCAACAGCCATTCTTGTTGTGTGTTAAAAATGTTTGTGTTTGCTACTGTAATTTATCACTAAAAAGTCAAGCCAACACATCAGGAGCCATTTAGATTTAAGCAGGCCCCACCCAGGAAGTGTACCTGGTTTTGGGAATGGCTCAATGTGGATGGGGCTAGAGGTGTGAGTATAACACCACGATTCAGTTCAATTCAATTTTATTTATATAGCATGGAATTAAAACAAATACAATCTCGAGGCACTTCAAACATAGAATCCAGTTTATTGTATTACAATCATAATCACAATCCCTTCCATGAATGATGTGGGCTTGGACTTGTTATTGCATTTCATGTTCTGTTCTTGAGGAGTTTGTTGCTGTTTATGTACTGTATGAAGTTCCATATCCACAGGGAGTGTGCATGGTCCTCGGTGTTCAAGTAGATGGAACATGTCAAACCACATCACTGTTAGGACTAGAGGACTTTAGGCACTGTAGATAGCTTTGTAGTCTTAGAACATGATCAACATCAGTGGTTTGTTTCAGTGTTAACTGTGACATCATGAGTGTCACCATGCAGTTTGCATTCACATAGATATCCAAACATATAACAGTTTGAACTTGAAATACACCAGATGTTTGCTGCCGTAATGTAGTCGTCTCAGGGCATGTATGAAGTCACAGTCTAACTTTGTTGTGCGAGTCCTCAGAAAACACTACAACATTAGCACTGGCTCACTCCGAGGCCAAAAAGCTCACAAGTTCCATCTTTCTAATTCTCCCTCCTGTTGTCCTGCTGTTAAATATTTCCCCATCACCAGCTCCCTGTACAGAGTAGCTGTTTGCTGGTGGCTTTTTAAGCAGTGTTTGCAGCTCCAAGTTTAAACACGTCACGTTTCGCCAGTGCACAGTGTTTGGCAACTCTGGCCAGCTTTGTTGGGAGGGCTCAGAAAAACCAGCTGTTTCAGTCTTCATTTGTGTGTTGGTTGCTTGGAGTCTCCATACAGGAAGCTTTTGCACTTCGGCAGGGTACATGGGAGAAACCCAGACCGAATTTGCTTGAGATTTTACTTATGCCCCACGAATATGTGTCAGTGACAGGATTTCCTCCCTTCTACCACTCAAAATTAAAATCAGTTTTAACTTCCCGTACCATTTAGTTAAAGGAGAAACTTGTTTATTTGTACACAGCTTGTGATTAATTAAGTATTGTTCTCCTTTTCTTCGCCATCTTTACCCACTTTTTTCCGCCCTATTTCCTTCTGTCTCTTGTCTCTCTCTCTCTCTATGTATTCTGCCATTGATCAATTCAAACCTCTCTCTACTACCTGCTGTTCCTCTCTCATACCGACTCTGGTTTCTCAATCTCTCTCTCATCTTCCTCACAACTCTTTCCCCGTTATCCCCCACACCAGTCCTCCTCCCACTGCCCCACGCCCCACCCCTCGTACCGGTGGCAGAGCTCCCCCTGACCCGCTCCCTTCTGTGTCCGCTGCCCCCCAGCAGATAGGGGGCATGGTGTGGGATTTCCTGGGAAAGTGAGTGCTCTGCCCTGGCACTTCAGCTCGGCTGCGTGATTAAAGTCTCCAACTGCAACTGCATCTGGTCTCACCTGTGTGCCTCGGCCCACCTGCTGTCCGGCACCTTCACGGATCTTTGTATCATACAACGCAAACTATCATTTATGTATTATCTAAATAATGTATTGTCAGTCTTTTCTAACGCAGATGATACAAAGATCCCTGGATTCAGTTTTTCCTGTGACTCTTTTAGCACGTGTTTGTTTCGTGGTTATCTGTCCACATCCGCTGCATGAATGTATTTCACCAGCTTGTGTGTGACAGAGAGGCTTTGTGCTGCACGTTCATTTTTGTTAGTCAAGCACAGATGACGGGAAAAACAATTCAGTAAATATTTGGGCTCATGAGAAATCAAATAACAGCACTGCACATCAGCTATTTTTTTTTCATTTATTTTGCCACTGACATATCTGTGATATTTCTTTGATTGTCTTACGTCTTTGATCCCTGTTGTCTCCTGTATGCGTCATGCTGCATGGCAAAGTAAAGGCCAATCACACCAAAGACTCGGCAAGCACAAATAGCATTTTAGGCTGCTAGCTGTAATTCAGAACCATATTAAAAATATCACCTTTATACATTGTAAGTAATCAATGCTAATACAGCTATTAATGCAGCACCTTTTTCACCTATACAACCCCAAATCACAAGAAGTTGGGACATGACAACATAAGAAAAAAAAATGACGATGGCTGCAGCAAATTAGTTACATTTACTTTTATTTCATAGGCGATAGTATGAATCTTAGATATTAAATATATTGTCTAGTCAACTTAATTTGATTTCTTAAGATATATCTTTTTCTTTATTTAACACCAAGAGATCAATAATTTCAGATGTTATTTGGTCCCATTTTTCTGAATATCATATCGTACTTTGGTTTAAGGTGTGCAGTTGTAAATTGTCACTGTAGCATTTTTATCTTAATTTAAAAACTCCCAGTATGTTCTTTATCTAGAAAAATTCATAGAGTTTATAAAATAATTCAACCAAAGAAGAAGATTTGCTCCATTGTTCATGCCATCTTAACTGGTTTTGGTTTGGGGTTGTATTTAAAATTGTGTTTTTGTAGAAACTGGTGTGATTGCTCCTTTTCATTACATTTGAGGCTGCTGAGTTTTGTCTTCTATAGAAAAAGCCTGCACAGTAGCACGTTTGCACACACACACACGCACACACACACACTCGCACCCACTGACATTTAGTTTCATATATTTTTGTGGTAATGGCTTACAGTGGGAACTGCCTAATGTTACAGCTGAGGCCTCCTCCTGCAATGAGCATGCTTCCACCTTCTCATTCTACACACCACCTGCCCGCCCCACCCTGTGACTCTAAACCCCAGTCACCCTCGCACCTGACTGACTTCTTCATTCTATTAACATCACCTGATGGCTCCTCTTCTCTCAAGTGTTCCTCCCTGCTCTTTCTCCCACCCAGCCCCACCCGTCTTGCATAGCTTGCTCTCCTGGACACTGAAGAAAATGACCAGCCTAGCATGCATGACTATAGCCGCTGTGTTCTGGGTCTACTTGCGCTCAGCGTGAGGTGCTGTAGTAGGTAGGGTCTGACCCGAACCTTTGCCCCAGAAAGTGTGTCAGTTCAGTTGGGTGTCCACTGTTTGAAAAACCCCTCCATTCATAACTGGTCCACTTACTACCTTTGTCCTTACTTGATGGAATCAACGTTGGCTTCCCCTCCGTTTGCTCAGCACTCAAACCTGCCCCTCTCCCCACCCTTTTGCCCGGCTAACTTTTGCCTGTCTGACTGCATGTCTGCCACTCCAGGGCTTGGCAGCAGATGCACACGGTTCCATGTCTTTCAGAAAGGTGCATCCTGCATTAGCTGTGGCAGAGCAGCATCTGCAACAGGCACATCTGTAATACCTCATGGTGTTTGATGATTATAGCACAGCATAATATCATCTGGGTTTCAGTATTTTTGTTTTATTATGGTTGTTTCTTTACGTTCTCATATTCAAATGTCTCTTTTTTTTTTAAAGAAATCTTTCTTTTGTGTGCTTTTGTTTCCTGCTTCCAATATTTTCTTCAATTATCCCATCCTCCTCTTGTCTACTACCCTTTCCTCTCCCCATCTGCAGTTTAGCTCCAAGGTAAGTTATTTCCCTGCTGGCTCAAACCTCCCTTTCTACCTAAGTTTACTCTAGCTCTTATGTGGGAAGCTCTTAGCTGCCTCATAAATGACATGCGACTGTCATTTCATGTGTGACACTCATGTGTTGATGCTGTATAGCTGATGTCATAGCTGGATTAAGATTTTTCCAAGATGCACTTGACAGTCTCAGTATACTCGTTCTGCTTGGCTACCTCTGGTGTTTTAGTATGACTTGTGGTTTTAAAAAGCACCTTCTTCCCAAGTGTTTGAAATATCAGAACACTCTTTGATGTTTTCTGTTAGCACCACCTAGAAAGGCTTTTAAATTTGTTTGATATTACAGGCAAGGAAGTAAAGATCAGACAAAGAAGGGGTCAAACATTAAATTGGGATCACAAGGGGACAAGAAGGGCTTGGGGCAGGACTCTCGTAAGGACAGCTCGTTAGACGGCGGTCACCACCCAAAGGTGAGGCTTTACTTTAAAGTAACACGTAGTACTAATGATACATACTTATGTCATGTTAAGTGAGGCTACAATGAAATTGTGCTGAATTACGCTCACTGTCAGCTGGAGGAGATGATGAGCACTCTGGAAAGGACGAGGCAGGAGCTGGATGCCACCAAGCAGCGTCTCTCCTCCACACAGCAGTCTTTACAGGAGCGGGACTCCCACCTCACCAACATGAGACAAGAGCGAAGGAAGCAGCTGGAGGAGATACTCGAAATGAAGTACGTGTTTCTGAAGAGACGAACGACAAAACACTTTCACGTTTGTTAAATGCTCTTCTTCATACCCGTCTCATGCGGCCCTCAGAAAAATAACACTGACAGTACTTCTGAACACATCTAGTCCTGTTGTCTGCTGTTGCCAAGCAACCAGTTAAGCCTCACAAAAGGACACTTTAAGCTGCCCTAAAGCACAATTTTGTGTTTTTACACTTTAAATTCATTACATAAACTGGATGATCCCTTCTGTTTTCAGTCTCTCTGCTCAGATAAGCCATTCTATAGCTTCTCAGTTACTATACTAACATCAACCTTTTCATGTGATTCTCATAAATAATGTTTTATGCCCTTCTATTAGGGAATGGACGGCAAAATGTCTTTAGTCTATCTGTAAGTGGTTCATTATTTACCTCCTTTAAAGAGTCAGAGTTTAAAGAGTTTAATGCTTGTTTTTAAGCTCAGAATTACATAATTGAGATCAACTAAAAAGAATCACATCGTACACTGCTGCAGCACGTTTTGTCTACTTCTGTTTGAGACTCTCTATTTTAGCTCCTACCGGTTCACGAGTCAAGTTTCCTCTGTCTAAATGGGTTGAAGGGCAAAAATAACAGAATGGGAGACAGCGGCTTTTATATCACAGTTATCAAATGTACATTGTGTTCCATGGTCATGCAAGTAAATACGCAACAAAAAGCCTGTACAACAAACAAAGCATTTTGAGCCTTTCAGGAGCAGATTCCTTCATGGGAAAAAAGTCAGACTGTGGTGTTTTGAAGTCTGAAAAAACTGCGTCTGGCATGAAAAGCTATATGACAACATAGGAATTGTTTCAGTCAACATGAATTTGACATTTTATACCCAAAGTGGATCTTGCCATATGTATAATTAATTGCACGTGAGCTGGATTTGATGCTGATGCAGCAAAGTTTAATTGCTGAAGTTTTTCATTTGTTTAAGTTCTTTATTTCATTGCATTTAATGTTTTCATAGACTGCCAGTGGAGAGGCAATAATGCAATAATTTGTTGTTGTTTTTTCTAGACAACAAGCTCTGCTGGCAGCCATCAGTGAGAAAGATGCTAATATTGCGCTGCTTGAACTATCTGCTTCAAATAAAAAGAAGACCCAGGAGGAGGTGATGGCCCTGAAGAGGGAGCGGGACAAACTGATGCACCAGCTCAAACAACATGTTAGTACTGCTGCATGTAACCCTATGATTTTACATTGTAGTTGAGCTGGAGGCTATCCGAGCAGAAGCAAAAAAGCTCACCATTAGTTTTTTCCCTTATTTGATACCATCTTCAGGAAAGAACAGGTTTCATGTAAGCACACGGTGCTCTGGTTTTAGACACTATTAATCAAAACCCACCTCTTGGAATTACAATGTTGATACAAAACTGATGAATGGAAGAACTATAAAAGGCATGTAAAGATTTCTTTCTTTTCACACTTATTAACAACTTGGTTCTGCCGTAGAAAATCATGAGAAATTAATGTGATTAATGTAAACAAACTAGCTTTATCTTGATTTCATCTCTTTTATTTTCCGTTAGTATCTTGCTGGCCATGTAGCTGCATGTGACTCCTACATTTTTAGAGGATAAAGTTACCAATGGGGTACAAAACTTAACATGAATTCAACATGTTAAATTTGATTTGTTATGACATTCCTTGTCAGTAAATGGTGCCCCGAGCTCAGCAACGCCATCAGCCATACTTTGCATGTACAATAGGTGGAGGAAGATGCCCTGAGGAACCACATGGTGTTTCTGGTTAGAGTCAAATTTCATTCAGCCGGAGAACATCATGCTCTAACCATTTTCCTCTTCCTGCAGACACAAAGCCGAATGAAGCTGATAGCAGACAACTATGAGGATGAGCAATATCACCCACATGCACCTCACCATCAGCCACAGCCTGCACATGCTCAGCCCCAGGCCCAGCCCCAGTACCCACATGCCCCCCATGCCCCTCATGCCCCTCATGCCCCCCATGCCCAGCAGTCCCCATATCCGCACACCCAACACCCGCAACACCCACAGCATTTGCAGCATCCACAAGCCTTGCCACAGCATCCACATCCCCAGCAGCCACAGCCCCAGTACCCTCACCCACAGCAGCCTCAGCCCCTCCCCCAGCACCAACAGCACCCACGCCCCCAACAACCTCAGCACCCTCACCCACAGCACCTCCAGCACCCCCAGCATCCACCACAACACCCACATGGACACCCCTCTCCACAGCACCCCCATCCTCAGCATCCACATGGCCCTCCCCAGCAAGGACCACACCCACAGCACCCTCAACACCCTCAGCACCCTCAGCACTCCCAGCACCCTCAACACCCTCAGCACCCTCAACACCCTCAGCACCCTCAGCACCCTCAGCACCCACAACACCCACAGCATCCTCAGCACCCACATCACGCCCAGCACCCGCGTCATCCATCCCCTCACCACCGAGGAGGCCCAGCCCGAGGACCCCCACTCGCCGGTCATCGCCCATCCCCAGACCAGGTTAAATGTCATCCCTTTAATTAGCAGGGGTAGCCTGTGCATTTACTTTTAAGCAGATGGAGCAGAGCTTAATGTTCACAAATAATAAAAAAAAAACATTAGCCTCCTGTATCCAGACGTTTTGGCTTTTCACGCCATGCAAAAAGAGATACGTTTAATTTCATGTTTATGACTTTACAGCAAATAATGCATGCGTTTTTCATGGCTTACAAATACTTGAGTAATCCAACAATTTACCAATTTACCACAATTCAAAGGTTTCATTATTGATGTATTTGTCTTCGGTCAATAATAATAATAATCAACATTTTACTGCTCCTATATTCCTGTAAATAGGATATTTTATATTAGACTTTCATCTGTCATGGAGGTTTTTACTTTTTTTTCTTTTTACTGTAGCTGTGTTAGATTTATCAACCATTTTGATGTGCTTGTGACGTTTTTTGAGGAAACATATTCCTGTCTCTGTTCAATGTCTTACATAACATGACCACCAACAGGATGACGAGGAGGGCATATGGGCATAATCTTAGCTGTGACAACCAAAGCTCTAATATTGTTTTGAGGGGTAAGATATATTCAATTTATTTAACTCTCCGATGTATTACATTTTCCTTTTCCCTGTATAAGAAAAGAAACTTCTCCCTGATAGTTGTGATTTGCTGTTTCCCACATTCAGATGATTCGGTCACTACTGGAGGAGCACTGCCATGCCATGATGTTGAAACACAACCCAACTAAAACTGTGTTACATTAAATCTGTCAATACGTCTGAGCAGTGGGACATTTGTTTTGTTTCCCCCCCCTTTTTTTTCTTTTTGGGAAGGAAGAGGAGACAGTCAAGTGCGCAGGTTCTGCATGAAGACTGTCAGCTGAGCAGGTAGTTTCACGTTAGAAACACAACTAAATGTTAGACAAATTTCTGATGCTGTTTTTTTTCCACTGATACATCTCTTCCTTTTTTTTTTTTTAAGGTGATGTGGGACCTCCACCTTGTGTGAACAGAAAAAGATCCTCCACTTCCTTCACAAAAGATCCTCAGCATGATGCCCTGAAGTGATGGATGTTCTGCTTGTCAAACTGTGACTTTGACGTGGTCAGCAAGGCCTCCCTACATCAGAGGTCTCACAGAAGTCGCCCCACCTGTCTGTCGCCAGCTGAACAAGCCCTCTTCCTCCTCCCGGCAGAATTCTCTTGACTCAACACCTTGAGTCTTTGGACTGGTTCAAGTCATGTTTTACATGATGGTTATCTTTCCAGCTTTTTCACCTGCCTGACCCACTTCTCCGGCTCTGATTGGCTCCTGACTCTCATGTTTTCTCCTCACTGCCCTTCTAACCCACCTGCTGACCTCTCTGTCACAACCCTCAGCGTGCAAAGTCTCTTCTACTGTTTACATAATCTCATTGCATTAGTGAGCTGCATTATCTTTTGTGCTGCGCAGTGACTACTAATTTTCGCCTTCCCTTACTCCCCCGCCCCACCCATCGTCAATATCCATTCTCTTATTAGGCATTTCATAGTGACTTTTTGTGTCCGTTTACTAGCTTGTTCCACATATGCCAGAGCTGAGTGATTTTAGGTTCTCTGTGGAAGCACTTTGGGCTGACTGACGGTGCGCCCTGCCTGCAGTGTCTCCTGAGCTGCACAAGCACAGCCAGTTTAGGTTTGGGGCTAGTTCAAACCTCAAGGCTCTGTCTCTCATCAATCTTTTTTCTTCATGTTACCTCATTTAAATCAGAATTAGTCCAAAAAAAGAAAAGAAAAAAGAATCAATCTATGCAGATGTAAACATAGAGGGAATGCATTTTTATTTTCCATCTGTATTTAAAGTGACTCAAACTGTAATTATTCACCCAATCAGAGTGGCCATGGCCAAGAGAGTAATCAGAAACTTCTCATCAGATTATTTTTGATTTTCTGAGACTATGCACCTATGCACCTCTGTGTTACAGGAATTTTTACTACTGGTGCTTTTGCTGGTGCTCAAACTAAATGGTGTCAGAAGACCTAACAGGAGCATCTTTTAGTCCTTTTACAGTGTACGGGCTTAATCCCACGATGGGCTTCACAAACAACTGTAAAAGACTATTTTGTACATACAGTTTGACATCGGGGGAATCACTACAAATGTCATAATAGACTATGAAGTGGAGCAGTGTTCAGTAGATGTTTTCCTTACAGGTTGAATTGTACCACTTACACCTTAGTCTCTGACCTATATTATGCTCCAACTCCGCTTTCCTATGTGCTCATTCAGCAGTAGTCTGTGTCCCCACACATAGTGACCTGTTTTCTCCTTCTTAACAAGGTGGCCTGTGCCTCATAAAATATGTACACATGATAGATATGCATATATTCTACATATAGAGAGAAAATCTATAGAGTGTGTCTATACGTGGTCAGAAAATTGTGTCAAACTGACAAGATATACTATATGTTTTTTGTTTTTTTTCCTCCTTTATAGTTATTTTTCTAACTGGCTAGAGGTCAGAGGTGTCTTATATAGAGCACTGAGTGGTACGATTTTCATTTGATTTGTATGTTGCGAGAAAACCCCTCAGTAGCAAGTTAACATTCCCTATCTTAAAATACCGGACAGTCCAGAGAAACAAAAGAGCTTTAGAGCAGTAGTTTATGGAAAATATTCATGTGTATCCAAATCTATCTAGAAATCAAGAAGATACATTATAACATTCCTTCCTTAATGTGAAAGCAACTCAGTTGAAGACTACTTGGCCTGTGGTGACAACTTTAAATGTTTTTTTCTTAATTTTGTAGCTCACAGGTAGCAGTGGGATGATGTCTGCTGCACTCGGCAGTGGGATGCTTGCACTTGTGAATGAGGACTATCAAAATACCCTCTGAGTAGAGGTTTCAGTGACTCTGTCTGGATGCATTTCGTTTGTGTGCGTTTTTTGTTGTTGTCGTCATGTAAACAGAAGTGGTGATGTATGTGACCGTTACAGCTGATAAAGTAGAAAAACCGACACGCAGTGTTACAGTATTGTGAAAAAATGAAGTAGACTGTTACTAATACCAAGTTTCCCTCCCTGCCCTCATGGTGCCTGTGTGTCAACTGTTGTACGTTGTATATAAATGTCTTTCCACCTACCCATCGTTCACAAAACAAGATGATTCACGGATCATTTTATTGACAGCTCCAGTCATTGACAAAGAATCAACAGGTTCTGTAAGACTTTGCTGTTTGTGTTTACAAATGTTGAGATAAAGGTCCTGATTTGGATTTTTTTTCTTTGTTGAGGGGATGGCAATGCAAACAGACAGAGGAGCAAAAAGTCCTCTCAATTCACCATAAGGGGTGGAGTTCAGATCCTCCATTTTCAGGTCCTTATCTACTGAATACTTGAAGTAGGGAGTTTTCCTACCACGATATAGCGTATATGATTTGCATGGTAGACGACATGGAACATTTTAATTGTGCCCATGCATGCTGGTTTTTACATTACGTGCCAACTGAAGGTGATGATGTATGGATCCTGTTCTCTATGCAGAGTGATTTCTAATGTGTCAAAAAAAAGCGAAAAAAAAGACTAAAGGCTAGGGGGCAGGGGCTGGTTCATACTGAAAACTTGTGAATGACTGGCATCAGTTTCAAAGTCTTGGGAGTCATAGAAGGCAAGGCTTCATCTGTGCCTCGAAGCAGCTGTTTATAAAAGCCTGTACATTCACCGGTCATCTTTAAAAGGCCTTCAAAACAAGTATGAAAAGCGTACAATACATTTTCTCTTTATCGCTGTGAACAGGTTGATTTTCTTTTATTGTTTGTCGCTGAAATCTTTGGATTTGATAAATCACTGTGACCAATGCCAGAAATATTTTTGTTTTACAGAGCAAATATTGTGTTTATACTTTTTTTTATTCATCTTTTTTAATTTAAGTTTAGCTTTATTTTTTATATGGTTTCAGCTTATTAATACGCCAGTTTGAAACTGTACTATTTGTACAAGTAAATGTTTTGAGCTGTACAGTAAAGACTTAGGAACAAGTTCAATGTGTGTCCAGCATGCTGAATGATCATTTGTGTGAACGTGGGCTAATCTCCCATGAAACGTCATTCCTCATGCATTACCCGCATCTGCATCGTGCAATGTGACGGTGTGATGTTGTGTTTGAGAGTGATGTGTGTGTCTCACTTACTGTGTCCCCTTAGTAGACAGCCTGTGCAGTTTTGTGAGTGCAGCATGTTTTTGGGGTTGCTGGTGTAAATGTTTTTTTTTTCTAAAAGAAAAGGAGAGAGTAGTGTGTGTGCGCACGAGCGTGGAAGTGTGTGTGCATAACTGCAGTTTCTTGTTGACCGTGAGCGTGCATGTGTGTGTGTGTGTGTGCGCGCGCGCGCGCATTAATCATGTGACAGAGATAAATCTATTCAAAAAACTTTATCAGAGAAAGTTGCTATGGAAAACAAGAGAGACTGAGTACTTTTGGGATGAAGCATGGATACTATGTAATGTTCAGTTTTGTTCTGATTTTCTTTAACAATAGGAGGCTGTCCTCAGTGCCCCGGTTTGCTATTGTATGTGCTGTATCAGAATAATATTATTGATTGTTGGCCAGCTTGTTTATATCCATCAAATAAAGGTGACTTTCTTTCTGTCTTTTTTTGTAACCGTCTTGTTCATTTCAACCTTCATAACTTTCTTCTTACCTGAAACTTTGGGGTGTTCGCTCATTAAAGCTTTGGAGGGTACGCCCACTAATGAGGACTGTCACCTGGATTTACAATGTTACCATACTTACCATACAATTTATGAAAATATTTTAAGAACAAATACATTTGAAAAGCCTCTATTTAGAGCCTTGACTTTTAATCCTAAGCAAAAATAAGAGGTGAATATCTGTGCCAAACTCTTTGCATGCAGCAGATGAAAACATAAACTTATTGTTCGTTTGCCCCACATTAAGAACTATTCTGAATCAACACCTTTCAAACTGAATATGACTTTGGAGATAAAAATGAACCATCCCACATTTTCTGGGAAGATTCACAGCCCAACTCTGACTTAACTTTCTAAATCAAATTGCGTCAAAGTCCAAGCCAAGTCTATCTGCGGTGGGACGCGTCAGCTGACAGTTAGGAGTCTCAATGTCCCTTCAGGAAGCTGTCCACCAAACGGTCCCCCCTGTCAGAGAGCCAGTAGCCCGCCATGGCTGCGGCTGCTCCGATGAACACGGACGTGTAGACCAGATCACCTTTTGCTGCCAGCGTGGCCAGAGCACAGAGCACCACCCCGAAAAACATCTGCTGCAGCACCTCCACCTCATCATCCTGGATGTCCTCAAACCAACCTTTCTCCTGACCAGCTGCAAGAGGAGATAAAAGGAAGGAGGGGGGGGTCACCACTATTTGCCTGTGTCTGCTTATATATTCAGGTTCATGTCTGAAATGAGTTTGCACTCACTGGGAATTTGCTTCCGAACGCAAAGAATGTTCTGACGGGTGAAGCCGTCTGCACAGTCGCAGCGAAAGGAGCCCTCCGTGTTGGTACAGATCTCGTCCAGGCCATGACAGGCCAGCACCCGGTCACTACACTCGTCGATGTCTGCACAGATAAAGAGTCAGTGAAAACCGAGGCGTACGATATCTACCGAGCATGCGGCGTTGGATTGTTTTTTAACCGTCTGCCATCACCCCAGCACTTGGACCCCGTCAGTCTGTATCCCGGGGCACATTTCCTGCAGCGCGCCGGCCCACCGCCCATACAGCCCACACAGGCTACATCGCAACCTGAGAAAACAGCAGCCGTTTCACTCTTCAGTGACAACTGTGAGAACTGAAATGGTTGCAAATGCTTTAAATAAAAATGAGAGAAAATAGCAAGCTCAAATAGAAGATAAAATGTTCTTTTCAGCACCTCTGAAAAATGTGTTTTGGTCACTTGTCTTAGTACTTTAACTGTGCACAGAACTTCACATGAGACATTTTTTAATGTTTCTGTTAAAAGGGGAGATTCTCTTTTAGTAAGACCAACAATTTGTAAATGCTACAAAAAGTATAATTCAGCCTGCAACGGCAAAAATGTGATTTTTACAAAATGATAAACCAGCAACGTCATGCACTTAGATCACAATTATTAGAATTATTTGGACGCCTTTGGACGTATTTTCTCATTAGTGTTGACCTTTTTTATTATCCTGAAGTTCAGTTCTCAGAACCTCTGAGGAAACAATTAGTCACCACAGTCACAGAAAATGATCAAGAAAAGTTTGAGGATTTGATTCATCTCTCTCTTTAACACCACAGAAATACAGCTGTTGGGTGACAAGACTCCAAAAACATTATTTCTTATTTATTCTATGGATATTCAGACTTGTTATAACAGATGTTATTTAGCACATTAATAAACATTACCTTTATCTAAGAGTCAACAAAAAAAATGTAAAAATTGAAAGACAACCTGAAGAGAAACAATGTGAGATCTCTGCCACTGACCTCTGCACTCGTAGGAGCCTTCTGTATTAAAGCAGTAACTGCTCTGAGAACAGTTTTCCAGCTCAGTGCCACACTCATCGACATCTGAAACAAATCGTACGCATTTTTAATATTCTGTCTCCTGTCCATGTGGCGGGTGTTGGCTGGTGTGTGAAGCCCTGCGTACAGTACCTACACAGGTTTTGTTATGGAGGATCCATCCGGCTCTGCATTCCTCACACTGGCTCTTGTCCGGCCCTGACCGCCGGCTGCAGGCATCTGGACAGCCACAGGCTTGGCCAGCCGACACGGCCCACAGTAAGGCGGGGAGCAGCAGGTGTGTGCGCAGCCTCTGGCCTCCCATCTGACCTGTGGACAGAAGGGCAGTGACAGAGGACGGCCTGGGATGTCCTGGTTGGTCTGCTGTATTTCTTCTGGGTTTCAGGGTCCCATTGGAGTCTCAGCAGGAGGCCAAACTCTGAATCTGTGTTGTGTTGACAGGATAAATGATTATTCTATCCAAAGCTTACAAGTGTTGTTTCAAAATATGTTTGTTTTAGTATCTCAGAGCAAAGGAAAACACATTCACACACGTTGTTGTCCAGGAAAGACTCTGGACTGACTTTGGACTGAATCAGATGGGGACACGTGGGTCACGTTAGTGCTGCTCATCCTGGATTGTACGGTCTCAGAGGAGCAATCTTTGGGTCACTCAGAAAAAAAAGCCTTCCTCAGTGGCACTCAAACAGTTAACACAGGAGCTGTGGAGAATTGTAACCCTACCTGTACTCCTTACTCCTGCTCCGGAGTGGGAAACAAATCGTCTTTGTCAAGTTTAAAATCAGTGAATCCAACCCCGAGACGCCGTTGACACTTGATCGGCCACTTTTTCTTTTTTTGCCTTACAGACTCATCCCGAGCGAGCGGAGACCGTGTTAGCCACTTAACACCGCCCCTCTCGGACGTATGGAGGGAGTCAGCAAGCAGCTCCGCGTGCTCTGAAAACGGACTCTGCGTTGAACGAATGAGATCCACCGGCCTGTGCAGGCATGGCCAACCGTACTGCCCACCACCCGCCACAGGAGAGGGTATTTTTAGACAGGTGGGAACTGCAGACGGCACACTGTCGTGTCTGCGTGCACAAATCCACGCCTGTAGGATTTCACTCAATTGCAGAGCCCCTGTGTGATAAACTTACATACATGAGTTCAACTTGGCTATAAACATGTTTCGGTTTTGTTTCCACCCAAGTCACGTCTGCTCATTCTGCTTGCAGCATAGCTGATTTATTCATGTTTGGTAAGTTAAAATAGTTTCCATAAGCAGGGGGGAACATTCTGCAAATATGATGTGATGTCAGTGCATTACTGATCTGAACTATTTCAGGAAATTTGAGGGCTTTCCTTATCTCGCAGTGCACAACTTCAAGCGACAATAGTATTTTTTTAAAACCATTTTATGGTCAAAAGAGCATCTGCATATGAGGGTAAAAGGAGGAATGATGAGGTTCATCATTTTGTAAAAATAATGCATATATTTTCTCTGCATTCCTTCCTAATCACAACCAGGAAGTTACAAAATATGAGTTAAGATGCAGCGTTCCCTGCATAATGGCATCCACAGAGGTAATACATTATAACACAACATAAATTCACAAGTGATCCGGTGTAACATACTACCAGCTTCCTGGAGCATGAAGATGATGTTTGCCCTGATGTTTAAATGCTGTTATGAGTAATTATTCCCTCCTCCTGCTTGCAGGGGTGGTACATTACACAAAACAGTTCATTACCATGGATATGTACTGACAACCTATAAATCAAATTATTTGGAGGACGAGTCCACGTGTTTGCCCAAAGATATTTAGCTGAAGGGGAAAAAGTGTCTTTATCTGAAATCCAGCTCAAGTACCCCACTTCCATCCTGTCCACGTTCTTCCACCTGACCCCCTGTTGGTGTCTATGACAGCCAGTTCGGTCAGGAGTGATCGAGTCTGATTGGGGAGATGGAACAGAGGCAGCCCGTGAAGCAGTTCCGGTAGCTTCCTGTTACTGGTGGGACACTCCACAGGGTGGCAGTCAAATGTCACCAGACAAAAATGTTCCCCGGCAGTGCCCTGCTTCTTGTACGCGTCAATGTAGAACAGTGAAGCTGTAAACAGGTCAGAATAAGCCCTGTGTAACTGCTGGTCTTGTATTCCCTCTGCATTTCTATTCAGGTGGCTCCACTCTTCAATTCTATTCAAGGCTCTGTGGTTCAAAACGAGCAATATTCGGCCTTCCATGCTTTTGAGCTTCAGCAGCTGTGAGTGCAGCCAAGGCAAAGGCCCCAGAGTGCTCTGCTCCTTCCTGCTCCACTGGTCCACCGACACGCTGAAGCCCTGGTTGCAGAGGTGGGACCCAAGACGGCACACCGACTCTGAAACAGCATCGTCCACATCTGGGGGGCTCAGCAGCACCACGTGGCCCTTCCTTACAACTTCAGAGAGGAAAACAAGGGTAAGACATGTTTTGCACCTCTGTGATCTCATGTGTGTGTTTTTTTAAAGAAGAAATAAAAACTCACTCTTGACAAATCCACCGTGATGCCAGCTCCACACCCATCCTAAAAGAATTCAGAACAATTCAGGCAGCTATAGCAGACAGTTCAACGCCACAACCGTATTTGCCTTAACACAAATATTTGCTCCGCAAACTGTGCAAGGCACACAATGAATGAATCAACACCTAGTAAATAAGTTTGAAGGAGCATGAATGGAACCTTTGTGGAACGTAGCAAAGAAAACCAGCAAACGATGGATACCCTATCATCGCTCTGTCATAAGGGATGGCAAAAAAAATAAAACTACTCACTTTTGACATATTCATGAAGGAAATAAACCAAGAGAGCCGTCAAAGTGACGAGCAGCATCACAGCCACAACCAGAAGACTCCAGCGCCATCTGCTGGCTGCAAGCAACACAACGTTAAAGCCACCTCCATGTACGGCTCCAGCATGCATACTTTATCGCACTTTTTGAAAGAAAATCCTTTCCCAAAATTATCAGCTGCTGGGATTTTAATACTTACTGTCATTATGACAGAACGGACCAAAGTGATGTTCCAATCCCTTTAGTTTTACCTGAATAAATGGAAAAACATGCAACAAGTTATCAGTGCTCTCTAACTAAGCAAGGATATTATATGTGGATATATTTACTGGAGTTTTCAAAATAACTCAAAATAACTTCAAAATAACTCACCAGCACACACTGGGAAAACTGTTCATTGATACCCTCAAACACACCTTTATATTCCTGAAGGAAGAGATTTCAGGCAGATTTTCTTTTTAAATATTCAGAATGTCACATATAATCTAAGGATACCATATATCAAAAAGAAATGTATGTTAAACTATAGAAAAGACATAAAGATATATATATATATATATATATATATATATATATATAAACAGCAAAGTGAAGAGGGGTAAAACACTAAGGATCTTAGTTTTTCTTACCCAGAGTGCATTGCTGTTCTGTCTCCATGTACCATTTACCAGCTCCTTTCTGAGGTTATTTGTCCCTGTGCAGTATCCAGTTTTGTAGCACAGCCACACCTCGCCCTGCAGTCTGCAGGGAGCAGACAGGTTCCATGAAAGCATCATGCTTTGGTCGTTCATTTTGCCCAGACTCACATGGACCGTCAAGTTTTTCCACATGTCCTGTTGTAAATCGTGTGGAAAATCTGGAACAAACCAATCATGAAGCATGACACAAACACTAAATACGTACATCATTCTTTTGCTTTTAAAGACATGCTGCAAATTAAAAAAAAAAAGGAATTTACAGACCTTTGTTTTTGAAGGGGCAATACTTAGAGCGCCTAGACCTCTTTTCATCCTTATCCCATGCCTATCAAAAAATAAAAACAGGTTGGTCACAGTTTACTATGACTGTTGGTGTGCGTGTGTTGGTGCTAGATGTCAGATTACAGTACCTGGAAACACATGCACGGGGCCAGAGAATATCGTGGGACTGTTGTCTGGTTCCAGCTCTGAGAACAAATATTGAGCACGTCAGGCTTAAATGAATGGCAGTGATGTAGAACTGAGCATACACAAGCATTAAGAAAACACACAATAAATATATAGATTCCTAAAATCCTTCATTGGCATCACCGTCACAATCCATCCTTAAGTCCCTCACATATGTATTTTTCCCCACACACCTCAACTTAAAATCTGTATCTCTTTACACATTCATGAAAGCAAAATTCACATATTGATCACACTGACCTGACAACTTCCATTCTCCTCATACTGGAGACACAAAGAGGGAGGGGTTTCATTCCGTCCCTCAAACAGCAGCTCCATCTGATTGGTGTTCGGGTTCATTACACTACTTACTGTGGGTACTGTAAAAAAATAAAAAATCTTAAATCCCTACAGACAGACATGGCATTGGTTCAAATCTGTGTGTTTGTGTGTGTTGGAGTGTCTGCTCTGTACCGTGGCACATTGCGATGAGATTCACCAGGTGTTTCTGGGAACACACTGTGGACACACGGGAATATTTGTCATAATTCCGCATGACATCAGTCTGTTTGCGTCTATCATGTTTTACATATAGACTTTTAACCAATGACTTGAAGTAAATGGGTGAACTTTTCAGGACATGCTTTGAGGTCAAAACTTTACCTGTTTCTAAAGAAGGTGCAGCAATGTCTTGGTACACACGTAGGTCTTTAGGAATATAAAGACGCATCTGGCCGCCAAAGGGAAAACCATCTGGCTGGGCGGTAATTATGGTCACCTGTATTAGTCACACACATACAGACGTTAAAAGATGGCGTGCCTGAAAATGAGCACATATTTAATGGCTGTGCAGGGTTTGATGAGATCAACAGCACCTTGGCCTGGTTTCGGTGAGTAACAGCTGTCTTGTTAACAGTAAACTCCACCTTTCTGCACGAGGGCATTGTGGCTGGAGCTTTGTAACACACTGTCACAGACGCTGTTGCATCAGAGAGAGGAAGGAGAGGCCATGGTTAGATTAGAATAACAGGTTCACTTGAGGGAAAACTGGCTGTATGCTGTAAACCTCCTGTCACAGTAAAGTATCCCTCAGTCTTTTTCCACAGAAACAACTACCAGAGTATTTTCAATGATTCCGTTGTGCTGTCTGGACTTGACAATTCAGTCATTCTGTGGAAGTGCTAAACAGTTCGCTCATTGAGAAATTTGGCTTGCTGTCACAACTGTTTCTGCCTGCAATATGTTGTGTAACCATGACAGATTAGTAAAAACAAAGTTTGCTCTTGGTTTAACACAGGCCCACCTTTGTCTCTTTTCATCTCCTCACTGAAATCCTCGTCATCAGCCCCAGAGTGGCCTTCTTCTTCCACATCTTTCTCGGTCGGGATGTGGAGCTCCATGTCTATCACTAGACACAATATGCATCTTTTAACATCCTCACAGCAGAGCTTGTAATCTGAATTGAGCTTTTGAACATCTGCAGTGTCCTCTGAGCTCGAAATAGGAATGACATCTTCCATTGTGCATCCAGAAAGACCCTTAAAAAGACAAAAATTGAGAGAGGGGATGTTATTGTGCAATTCCCTTAATAAGCCCGGGATAGCAAATATTTACCACTGTATTAAACACCTCTGTGCTGTGGAAAGCTGGCAAATGGGTTCAGTATATCTCACTGTCTGCTTTTTATTAAATGTTTGATAATAAAACACTGAGAAAGGATATTAAATATCAGTGCAGGCTGTGGCAGCACCAAAGGAAATTAAAAATATGATCCAGCAGTAGACTGTAATGGATCTACTACTACAGTACACAGACTCTGGTATTTTGTGTATTATCGATGTGCACCATACCATACCTGTGAGCAAATGAGGTCATCTCTGTTATATGGAGACATCTCCAAACTCCAGGCTGACATGCAGAGACTTAGTAAAACCCACGAGAGTGACCATCCGGGAAGAGTCATTCTGTATCCCTTCTGCGCTTCTCGCATGTGCGCTTTTCAGGGGTTCTTACATAAATGTTTCTTTCATGGAGCAACAGGAAAATGGTGTCCCGCAGGTGTTATATCTTCCCCGCTCTCATTCCGTTGGGTAGGTGATTAACTTGTTGATATGTTGACTGAAGCTATGTGGTGGCATGGCAGGCAGTGAACTGAGACAAACTGTGTTTCACCATTGTTCGAGGTCTGTTGAAGACAGGATATGGATCAGTTTGTTTTCTTGCACAAATGTATTGTTAACTAACTTCATCATACTGGGTAGTCCAAAAAACACCCTTTCCTTTATACGACATTTATACATACCATTGGTTAGAATTGGGAATTAGTGTCCCTTTAAAACATAGATAGATAGATAGATAGATAGATAGATAGATAGATAGATAGATA